CCAGAGCCCAGCAGGTCGAGGTTGCGGTGGCTGGGAGCAGCCACTGCACTCCAGTCTGGGCGACAAAGTGAGACTCCAACTCAAAAAAAAAAAAAAAAAGATAAAGCACAAGGGAATAATGAGTGGATTGTAATAGAAAAAACAAACAAAAAATGAAGGAACTTAAAACATTCCTTGCAAAGGAGAGAAAGGGGGAAGTTCACAGAAACTCATGTGAACAAGGCCCGAGTGTTGGAGTAGACCCTAAGTTCAGTGTGGCCTTACAGTGCAGGGAGGTGGGCACAGGAGAGAGGAGTTCAGGTTGTGGTGCTGGGAACACTGGCTCCATTTGGGTGGAGGGAGGATGGTGTTCCACATTCTTCTTGCTGACTGGACAGTCTGGGAGACAATCCTGACTTATTCACAAACTGGAGCATATACTAAGGAAGGCGATAGGATGGCAAATAATTTAAAAACCAAAATAGGGTCAGGTGTGGTATGTGTCTGTAATCCCAGTACTTTGGAAGGCTGAGGTGGTAGGATCACTTGAGCTCAGGAGTTGGAGGCTAGCGTGGGTAGCATAGTGAAAGCCACATCTCTACCAAAAAAAAAAAAATAATAATAAAGAAATTAGCCAGGTGTGGTGGTGCATGCCTGTAGTCCCAGTTACTTGGAAGTTGAGATGGAAGGATCACCTGAGCCTAGAAGGCTGAGGCTGCGGTGAAGCATGATCATACCACTGCACTCCATCATGGGTGACAGAGTGAAACTCCAATGAAAAAACAAGCAAAATAGAAGAGGAATGATGGAAGGAACTGGAGGCCATAATCACAATCATCAAATATCTGAAGGGCTTTCCCATGGAGAAGGAGATAGATTTCTGTGAGCCCCAAGGGATAGAATGAACACTGATAGGAGCGAGAGACTGGCTTAATATGAGGAAAAAGAATAATATTGCTATTTGTTTACTTATTTTAATTTAATTTTTTTGAGTCAGAGTCTCACTCTGTCACCCAGGCTGGAGTGCAGTGACATGCTCACAGCTGCCACAGCCTCAAACTGCTGGGCTCAGGTGATCCTTCCCCCTCAACTTTCCAAATAGCTGAAACTATAGGTACACACCACCATGCCTGGCTAATTTTTTGATTTATTGTAGAGATGAGGTCTCATCATGTTGCCCAGTCTGGTCTCGAACCCTTGGGCTCAGGCAATCCTCTCACCTCAGCCTCCCAAAGTGCTGGGATTATAGCCACTATGTCGGTCAATATTGCTATTTATTAAGGACCACTGTATGAGACATGTACAGAAATCACTTTATTTAATCTTTTTAATATTCCTTCAAGTTAGTCATTATGACCCTCATTTTACAGATGAGGAAGATGAGACTCAAATGAACTAAGCAATTTCCCCAAGATCACCCAGCAAAGTTAAGTTCCAGAGTAGGATCTGAACCCAGGTCTGAAGCTGGGACTGGTTAGTTCTCCACCTGTGGTTTCACTCGAGCCAAGACTGAGTAAAGCCCATCCTCTTTCTACCACATTGTGAAGTACTTATAGCAGCTCAGGAGGTAGTTTTACCATTTTTTGACAGCTGACAAGGGCTGATTGTCCCAGGAAGGACTATTTGGGGGACCTGGATTTGTAGGGTGTTGGTACTGGACTAAGAGGCTGTTAAGTTTTCTCTGTCCCAGAAAGTTCATAATTTGATTCTCTCTTGTCTACCTGGAAAATATTGAATGATCTAGGGGTGAGTATCTGATATTGCCAAAATTGGCTAAAGCTATGCAAACATATAACCATTGAGCTCTTATTCTTTCATCTTACATCTAAGCTATCATGAGAAACTTTGTTAAAAGCCTTGTGGATATAAAAATCTGTCAAGTCAAAGGCATTGTGGAGACACCATGGTGCGTGGGAGGGAGCACAGGTCTAAGAGGGTTGGATTGACTTGAGCTTAAATTCTGGTCACAAGTGTTAAGTAACTTAGAAAAGCTACTACTTTATTTGGGCTATGTCTTCTCATCAACAAATTGTGATGTGCACACTACTATGCACACACACACACACATACACACAACACATTCACTGATTTTCTTTCTCCCCGCACCTCCAAGCTCCCTAGACTTTTTCTGGTTTCACCTGGTTTCACCAAGGTCTTCCACACCACAGCGCCCTCCTTCTTGTCTCTCATTTGCAGCCTGATCCCGGACCCCAAGTGGCCAACGTAGAACTCAGAGAACAGCTGGGCTTCTCCAGGGCTCCGATAGCAGAGCTCCAGTTCCTGAAGAGACAAATAGTTGCCATCCTGTCCTCTTGCACATGAGGTCTTTCCCCACCTGTTACCTTCTTGGTCCTGGGCAGCCCCACAGGGGGCACTCTGATGATCTCCTGCACTGAAATCAATCGCCACCTTCAGCCGCTGCTCTTTTTCCAACTTCCCATAAATCCTGACTCAGAAGGATGAGGGTGCAGTTGGGTACCTTGCATGAGTCAGGAACTCGTCCTTAAAAGCAGTGTACATACATCCTAAGCCAGATCCTTCTCCCTCCATCCTGAGCCAGATCCTTCTTCCTCCACCTCCCTAATCTTGAATCCAAATCCTCATTTCTTAAGCCCATAATCTGTCTTCCCAATGGATCCTAAGCTCGACACATTTTCTTTTCTTTTCTTTTGAGTAGGAGTCTCACTCTGTAGCCCAGGCTGGAGTACAGTGACACGCTCATGGCCACTGTAGCCTTGACTTGCTGGGCTCAGGTGATTCTTCTGCATCAGTCTTCCAAGTAGCTGGAACTACAGGCACATGCCACCAGGTCTGGCTAATTTTGTCACCATTGTAGAAACAAGGTCTAGCCAAGCTGCCCAGGCTGGTGTTGAACCCCTGGGCTCAGGCAATCCTCTCACCTCAGCCTCCCAAATTGCTGGGATTACTGGAGTGAGCCACTGTGCCCAGCGACCCACTTTCAATTAACAGAAAATTTATATTCATTCCCTTTCCTAAATCACACCCAAGATAGCTCTCTTAATTCCCATTTGTCTTTCAAACATGCTTCTTCTCCAATTTCCCCAAACTCAGTAAATTGTATAGCCATTCACTGAGCACTCAAGTTCCAAGTTTGGGAACATCTTTAATATACCCTGAATCCATCAAGTTTCTCCATTCCCACTGCTACCTCCCTGGCAAGGCCATATTCAGTCATAGTTTCTAGTATTGCAAAGACTTTAAAAAATTTTTTTTATTTTAGAGATAGAGTCTTGCTAGATTGCCCAGGCTGGTCACGAACTCCTGGGCTCTAGTGATTCTCCCACCTCAGCCTCCTGAGTAGCTGGGACTGTAGGTGTGCCCCATTGCATCCCTCATTGTAACAGCCTTTTTACCTGTCTCTCTGCTTCTATTCTTGCTCACTTATCACCCATAGTCACCCAGTAGCCAGAGGCATTTTTATGAAAGTGAGTCAGGTCTTATATTACCACATTTAAGACCCTCCAAGAACTTGCCATTGCACTTAGAACAAAATCCAAATGCCACATCAGGGCTAGCATGGCTGATGAGCCCTGGGAAACTCTGCCTCTGATCTGACCCATTTTTTGCTTCATATGCTAAGCTCTACCATACTGGCCTCCTTCTTGTCACTGAGGTCTCAGCTCCTCAGAGTTGCTTCTCCTGACCACTCAATCTAAAGTAGCCCAAATAACTCTTTTACAAGGCCATATTTTCTTTCTTTCTTTTTTTTTTTTTGAGTTGGAGTCTCACTCTGTTGCCCAGACTGGAGTGCAGTGGCCGCTCCCGGCCACTGCAGCCTCGACCTGCTGGGCTCCAGTGATCCTTCCGCCTCAGCCTTCCAAGTAGCTGGAACTACAGGTGCGCGCTACCACGCCCGGCTAATTTTTGGTTTATTGTAGAGATGAGGTCTCACCAAGTTGCCCTGGCAGATCTTGAACCCACAGGCTCAGGCAATTCATTCACCTCAGCTTCCCAAGGTGCGGGATTACAGGCTGAGCCAAGTCCGGCCAAGGCCATATTTTCTTTACAGTACTTTGTGGTACTGGGTCACTAGTTCTTGAATTATGTATGTAGGTCTCTCTGCCAGGATGTAAGCTTCCCAAGAGCAGGGATTAGTCTGTTTTGTTCACTGAACTATCACCACTGAAGCCAGCATATACTTGGCACTGGATAAATATTTGTTGAGTGACTGAATCAGGTCCTTCTCTCATCTCTTCTTAACAACTGACTCAGCAGGATAACTAAGAGATTAATCCTTGGATTCATGTTTCCCAACTCAGATGATAAACATCACTTCCTCCTAACTACTGGACCCACTTGGAGACATTAAACGGAGGATTGTTAGGCATTCTTCAGAAGCTGTTGACTTCAGAGATGGATAGCTTCTGCTGGAGATGCCAGAACAAGATTAATTTTCTGATTCTTCAATATCCTTTCCTTTCCCTATATTCTATTACTAGTCTTCATCTATTATTTCCACTTTGACATCCTCAAAACTCTGATATGATTTCCCTTATCTTCATCCTATTATTTATTTATTTATTTTTTGAGTCAGAGTCTCACTCTGTCACCCAGACTGGAGTGCAGTGGCCACTCCCGGCCACCGCAGCCTCGATCTGCTGGGCTCTGGCAATCCTTCTGCCTCAGTCTTCCAAGTAGCTGGAACTACAGGCGTGTGCTACCATGCCCGGCTAATTTTTTTGATTTATTGTAGAGATGAGGTCTCACCAAGTTTCCCAGGTGGGTCTCGAACCCGTGGGCTCAGGCAATCCACTCACCTCAGCCTCCCAAGGCGTGGGATTACAGGCTGAGCCACCGAGCCCGGCTTATTTATTTATTTTTGAGTTAGGGTTTTATGCTGTCACCTGGGCTGGAGTGCGGTGGCATGATCATGGCTTACCACAGCCTCGACCTTCTGGGCTCAGGCAATCCTGCCTCAGCCTCCAGAATAGCTGGGACTTCAGGCATGTGCTACCACACCTGGTTAATTTTTTGATTTTTTGTAGAGATGAAGCCTTGCTATGTTGTCTAGGCTGTCTCAAACTCCTGGGTTTAAGCAATCTTCCTGATTTGGCCTCCCAAAATGCCGGGATTACAGACGTGAGCTGCCACACTCAGTGTCTTATTATTTCTGACTCCCTATGAATTTCTTCTGCCAAGTAAAGAAAAATCAAACTCTCTTGTACGTTTTTCCTGGACCTAGCTTCTGCTCTGGATTTAACTGATTGCTGGATCTACTATTTCCAACCTTACCTTGAAGACAAAAATGTAATAGCTAGTCAAAAGGGAATTTTCACTATAGCAAATATTTCCTGTTGCACTTGTACTTGTCACAAGTAGAACAATTTGTGACAAGCAAGAACAAAAGCAAGTCATGTGATTCTCTTAAATAGACTCTTAAGTAGATTCTGGGTATCCTTTCTTGACTGGGTTTTATAGTCTAGGTCCCTAGTTTTGAGACCTTGTTACAAAGACTAATAGTCCTTTTGTTTCTGGTAATTGCCTGTGTTACAGTTGTCCATTGTATCCTGTCCTGAGCCTTGAATGCCACATAGCCTTTGTCACATCAGATGGTTCAAAGGCTCACCTCACAACAGAAGGAGAAAGAAGGAAGGATTAACTCTGGTTCTACTACAGACTACCACTCAGTAAATGCTTCTCTGATCCTAAGCAGCAAAATCTGTGCACTGGTGAAGATTTGGATACCATGGATTAAAGCCCAGTGGCCTGACTTCATCTGCCTTTGGCCAAAAGGGTGGACTGAGATAGAACAAAAAGTAGTCCCTGACATCCAGGAACTGATGTTATCATCCAGTGTATGTTAGCATCCAGTGTTATTACAAGCTGACCCGAGGCTCACAGATCACCCATGTTGTCCTCCTGTCAGTCATGTACAATCTCACAGAACACCCACTTCAGATAGGTTGCTGCACAGCCCACAAAATGCAAAACATCCCCTCATCCCTAAATGAGTGGCCGCTACTTCTTTAGCAATTACAGCTTCACATTTGCCTTAGTTCCCTAGAGAGTGGATTTGTTGAGATTTCCAATCAATTTTGTGGAATCTCTGCCTTTGGACAACACCTAGTCTAGAGCAAATTTCCTTAGGCTTTCCCCAAAATTGCACAACCAAGGCTCAAATCCTACAGTAGATTCTTTCTAACACCCTTTTACTGAGATGCCCCATGGTTCCCCATGGTGTGTGTTTTCCCACTGCAAAGAGTGATAAATCCAGTGTGTTTAACTATAGGTGTGTTCCTGGTAGTTTTTGGCTTAAGGGCATTGATACCCCATTGCCCAAACACTTCCCAGCATTCCCAAGTCAAACCCCATTGTCCTCTCCATCCTGAATGGGATCCTCTCTCCCTCTAATGTTATGTCCTCCAGTCTTTGAAGCTTTCCTCCTCACCCCAAATCCCACTCAGTTTTTCTGCTCAACCCCAATTCACCCTGTCCCTGGGAAAGTTCTGAGTCCTACCCCACAGGCACTCCCAAACATGGTTTCCAGTCCCAGTGAGGGGCAAACACTGGGCTGCTTACCTTGGGGATTATTTCCAGCTTTCTTGAACCAGACACAGTGTAGCGAGTACCCATGTAGAGTGGAGTCAGTGGGGGTGGCTTGTGTATTCGTACAAACTGGAACTTCTTTTCTTCGTCATCTATGGCCTGAGGAACATATAGAACAAGGATTAAGGGAGGAATGGAATATGGTCATTTGAGTAGGTGAGATGGTGCATCTGTGTGTTTGTGTGGGCAGAGAGGTTCTATACCATCCCTGGCTCCTCGCCTCCATGCACTGGTACACAGACGGTCTCACAGTTGGCCTCTGCTATCTTAAGGGTGGGAACAAGATAGAGAAGAAGTGAGAATGGGGAAAGGCTACATTTTTAGGCATAGAGCCCTCCCATCCTATGACTTCTGGAAAGAGGCTGCAAACAGACGTCCAAAGATCAGTGATGGAGCTGTGAGCCCAGTTGGGGAACACTTTGGGGAGCTAGGAGACCAATCCATAGTCGAACAGGGGGCAGGATTGTTCACCTACTTTCAGGCTCCTGCTTTTAAGAGGCCCATCCTTATTCCCAATTGAGGACACCTCTCGGGGGCTCTCTGGCTACATTTCATGTTTTCTGTCAGCCCACCCTGGGCCAGCCTTTCTGGTTCTGCCACCTTCTGAATGGAGCAGTCACTGGGGATCAGGTAGAGGTGGAAGGTGACTTCTTCAGGACGGAGGTGATGGTAGAGCAGCACTATGGAGGTGATGGGGATGAAGCGCAGGGCAGCATGGATCATTCTTAGTAGAACACCCACAGGGGAGAAGCTGGGGTTCTCCAGGACTATGTAATGTGGCTCCACCCTGGCTGGTTTCTCCAGGAGCATCCCTTCTTCTTTAAAGTGGGCCACTTGGAACAGGGAGAGATCCACATGGCCCCCTGTCAAAGAATGGATTCGAGAAGCATGGATTTAGTGCTATTGCCGAGTCAGGCTTGGTGGGTGCAGTAGGATCCCAGGGCTTAGGCTCAGGGACCTTTTGGGGGAAACCCAGTGGCATAATCAGAAAGCTTATGTCCCCTCAAAATTCATATGTTGAAATTATTATTATTATTATTATTTTTAGAGTTGGAGTTTCACTCTTGTCGTCCAGGCTGGAGTGCAGTGTCACACTCACGGCCACCACAACCTTGACCTGCTGGGCTCAGGCAATCCTTCCACCTCAGTCTTCCAAGTAGCTGCAACTACAGACGCACGCCACCATGCTTGGCTAGTTTTTGTGATTTATTGTAGAGATGAGGTCTCACCAAGTTGCCCAGGCTTGTCTCAAATCCCTGGGCTCAGGCAATCCTCTTGCCTTGGCCTCCCAAAGTGCTGGAATTATAGGCTGAGCCACCACGTCCAGCCCATATATTGAAATTCTAATCCCCAATGTGATGGTATTAAGAGTGGAGCATAGGACAGGAGTGGTGGTTCATGCTTGTAATCCCCGCACTTTGGGAGACTGAGGTGGGAGAACTGCTTGAGGTCAGGAGTTCAAGACCAGCGTGGGCAACATAGCAAGACTCCATTTCTAAAAAAAAAAAAAAAGCAGAGCCTTTTGAGAGGTGATTAGGTTATGGGAGTGGAACGCTCATGAATGGGATTAGTGACCTTATGAAAGAGACCCAGGGGAGCTAGTTTGCTCCTTCCACCCTGTGAGGATACAGCTGGAAGGTGCCATCAATGAGAAAGAGGAACTTCATTGACATAGAAACTATTGGCACCTTCATCTTGGATTAACCAGCCTCCAGAACTGTGAGTAATACATTTTTGATATTTATAAGCTCCCTACTTTATGTATTTTGTCAAGCAGCCTGAATGGACTAAGACACCCAGCACGGGGAAGGTGGTATGTCTGAACCTGGGGCCTTCGGAGGTTGTGGGAAATTCTGTTCTGTGGGAGCAGCACAGGAACCCCTTTGAGCTAAAGTCCTACCCAGGCCCAGCCACTGGCTTTGAGCTGCAGAAGATTGGACCTTTGGCTACCTGTGTTGGTGTGGACTCTAACTATGAGGGACCATTGAGTGACACTGGCAGGTTTGACTCTAGACAGGTGAAGACAAAAAGGAGTAAAGGGCATTGGGAAAATGGAGTGCCCAAGGGTAGCCTACATTGTCCGAGTAAGCTACCCACCACTCAAACTCTTCTTTATGGGATGAGATCCCTTTTCCAGCATTGTGTGGGTCTTGCAAGAGGCAAGCTGAATCTCCCACTCAGGAAGCTGCTACTCTCTGGCAGCTATGACACAGGTATGTGTCCAAGGTTTGACTAAGTGAATGCCTCTGCCCCGGACCTCAAATCTAGAAGGGTGAAGAGACAGAGATTATTTTGCTAGTAACAGTGGAGTCAAGAGTCCATGGGAGCTAGGCATGGAAGTACACAACTCTCATCCCAGCTACTCAGGAGGCTGAGGTGGGAGAACTACTTGAGTTCAAGAGTTTGAGGTTACAGTGACTATAATTGTGCCATTGTACTCCAGCCTGGGCAACAGAACAAGATCTTGTCTCAAAAAAGGGGGGAAAAAAGGAGCCCAGTGACTCCTCAGCAGGAGGGTCCACAGTGGTTGTGTCTGCAGCAAAAGCCTCTCTGTATTTTTCTTGGTGTGACCTTGGCTGTGTCCTTGGTTTCTTGGTTTCAAAGGGTCGCTGCTTTTCTCCTCCCTTAGATTTGCTGTGTAGCGTATTATTAAGTCTATGAGCTACTCAAGAATCTTTCAATAATTTCCTTTTCTGCCTAATCAGCCAGACTTGGTTTCTTTTATTGCAGCCTCGGGCCAGTGTACCACACAAGGACATTGAAGCCACAAGAGAGCTTGAGGGATGAAGGCTGATAGTGGGAGAGACAATGGGCCAGAGATCAGGAGTCCTGGCTCCATCCCTGTGTTGCCTAGCAACTACTGCAATGCAGGTGGTTTCTGGGCAACAAAACATCCAGCAAGCTGGACAAGGCCGTTAGCATGAGCGTCAATCAGAATATCAGTGAGTGATGTGAATCCCAGAAGAGGATATGATGACCATGACTTGAGTTTTCTCACTTATTAATTGTATTTTTCTTCTTTTGAGATAAGTTTCTGGAGTGTAATGGCAAGATCATAGTTCACTGCAGCCTTGACCTCCTGGGCTCAAGTGTTTCTTCTGTCTCAGCCTTCCAAGTAGCTAGGATTACAGGTGTGCACCACAGTGCCTAGTTAATTTTTTTTCTTTAGTAGGGACAGGGTCTTGTTATGTTACCCAGGCTGGTCTCAAATGCCTGGCCTCAAGTGATCCTTTAGCCTTGGCCTCCTAAAAAGCTAGGATTACAGGCAAGCCCCTGTGCTCAGCCTGTTAATTGCATTTTTTTTGGGATAGAAATAATATCACAGTGGTGTACATCATCTGAAAAAATGAGGAAGCATTCATCTATGAATCTCATCAATTAAACAGTACAACTATTGTTATCATTATACCCTTTTTATCAGTCTTTCTCTGCAGCAGCACACTTTCATATTTCCATGGCAGTTCATGTAGCTTTGCCTCCTGCTTTTCCCATGACAGTTTAAATTGTTGCAAGCATCTGTCAGACCTTTCTAATGACTGCAAGCATATGATCTCTGTTAGTGAATGCATACCCTTTAATTCACCATCCGCCTCTCATTTCAGCATTGAGTCTGCTTTCAACTTTTCACCATGATAAATAGTACTGCAATGCACATATTTCTGCCAAAAGCTTCTATTTCCCTTGGGTTATTCCCTTGATATCAGTAGCATGAAAGATGAGAAAAGTGTGTGAAGTGGTATGACTCTTTTTTGTTTCTTCCCCAAATTGCTTCTCCAAGAGATGATACCACTTTGCACTGCTGTCATCGGCACTAATTGGATAGTCTCACCCTGATCTCCACAGCACTGGAATGCCCTCATGTGTCAGATGGGGGAACTAAAAGCCAGAGAGGAAAGTACTTTTCCCAAGGCCACACAGCCAGCCTCAGCCCTAGAACCTGATCCTGGCCTCTCTGCATGGCACTTACAATGCTCTGTGCCACGCTAATTTTGGCTGAGTTCCAGAAGGTACTGTGTGTCTTCAATTTACCTTCTTGCTATGGTGACCAACTGTCCCAGCCTGCCCAGGACTGAACTGCTCCTGGAATGCCGGATTGTTAGTGCTAAGATCAAGAAAGTCCTGGGCCTTCTGAGATGAGTTGGTCATTCTCCTTCTTGCAAAAATTGTCCTTGCGATAGACGTGGCACAGTCACCTTCTCCAAACCTAACAGTATGTCTGTGCTGATAGATTGGAGAGATATGGGAAGCAAGAGGGAAGATCGTGGGAGGGTAGGAAGCTTGAGTTTTGACTTGGGAAGTCTCAGGGGCAAGAAGACCATGAGCTAAAGGCCCTTTCCCTGGAGTGGCCTTTAGCTCATTAGAAATATTCAGAACAAGCCATCATGGGGTAGGCATGTTTCTGTGGCAGTGTCTGGGGTCCAGAGCCTTTCATCTGCTTTTTTGTTTTGTTTTGTTTTGAGTTGGAGTCTCACTCTGTCGCCCAGACTGGAGTGCAGTGGCCGCTCCCAGCCACCGCAGCCTCGACCTGCTGGGCTCCGGCGATCCTTCTGCCTCAGCCTTCCGAGTAGCCGGAATTACAGGCATGCGCTACCATGCTCGGTTGATTTTTTTTTTTTTTTTAATTTATTGTAGAGACGAGGTCTCGCTGCCCAGGCGGGTCTCGAACCCGCGGCCTCAGGCAATCCACTCACCTCAGCCTCCCAAAGGCGCGGGATTACAGGCTGAGCCACCGAGCCCGGCTTCATTTGCTTTTTAAACAAAAGCTTATTGAACACTTACGATGGGCCAGGTCTTGTGGATGTAGCTGTGAAAAGGGAAGATGCAGGCACTTCAATTCCAGAGCTTGTTGCCCAACAGGGAAGACAGACAATGAATAGAACAGTGGCCCAAAATATCCCAAGTGCTCTGTCAGGGAAGCTCGTGGGCTCCATTCTTCTTTCCCTGCCGTATGCCCAGTGTTTGCCTAAGGACACAGCTGCTTCTGCCATCCAGGAGCCTGGGGGCTCTTTCTCCTTTAGACCCTGCCCCGTGGTCTGATGCCATAGCCCTGTCTTCCTATTAAGTGTGTTGTCAGCACCTTCCAGGCTCAGGTGAGCTTTAGAGGGGCAAAGCGACTTTTGTTTTCTTTCTTTTTTTTTTTTAAGTTTGAGTCTCACCCTGTCACCCAGGCTGGAGTGCAGTGGCGCACTCATGGCCACCCCAGCATTGACCTGCTGGGCTCAGGCAATCCTTCTGCTTCAGCCTTCCAAGTAGCCAGAGCTACAGATGTGTGCTACCATGCCTGGCTAAATTTTTTGGTTTGTAGAGATGAGGTCTCGCCAAGTTGCCCAGGCTGGTCTTGAACCCGAGGGCTCAAGCAATCCACTCGCTTCAGCCTCAGACTCCCAAAGTGCTGGGATTATAGGCTAAGCCACCGAGTCCAGCCACAAAGCGACTTTCATGCTCAAGAAGGGGTAAGTTAAGGCAGGGCATCAGAGAGATATCTAACCAAGCAGCTAAATGACATGAACTACCCAAGTTGATTCCCAGCAAAAGGACCTACCAGCTATATTACTCTGAGCAGCTTACTTAATCTCTATGTACATCATCTGTAAAGCAAAGCTGATAACGGCAGCTACCTCCTAGTGTCATAGTGCAGACTGAGTGGGTTTGTGTCTGTACAGTACTGGGAATATCAAGGACTTCTGTCATTATTATGAATAAAGTGCAGCTTGGTCAAGTACATCATCACCTGGCTGTTGTGGTTCTTTCTCTTTCTTCTTCAAGCAATGTGGCCCAGTACTCCTAGTTACCCCTGGGATCTGGGAAGAAAAAGTCACTAAGATCTTTTAAGATGCATTTGGCTGAATCTGAGTTTTGGGACTCTATGGTTGTACTATTCAGAAAGTGTTAGTACCTGGAAGCAAACAATTTTGAGGCATGTAGGATATCACTGTGGTTCCCAGCAAATTCATCCAGGTGAGCTTCTGGGCGTGTAGGGGTGAGGGGTGGGGGAAGGAGGAGCTTGGGAATAAGCCCACCAAGGTGGTTATGTGAAATGTTCTCCGTGCCTATAATCCTAGCGCTTTGGGACGCTGAGACTGGAAGATTGCTTGATACCAAAAGTTTGAGACCAGCCTAGGCAACATAGAAAGACCCGATCCCTAAAAATAAATAAATAAATAAATAAATAAATAAATAAATAAATAAATAAATAAAAGAACAAAATAAAAGAGCAAAAAAAAAAAATGAGCTGGGTGTGGTGGCGAGCACCTGTAGTCCCAGCTACCTGGGAGGCTGAAGTGGAAGGATTGCCTGAGCCCAGGAGATGGCGGCTGGAGTGAGCTGTGATTGTGCCACTGCACTCCAGTCTGAGTAACAGAGTGAGACCCAGACTCAAAAAACTCCCAAACAACAACAAAAATCCAAAAAACAAAAATCCAAAAAACAAAAATGAGGGAACTCACTTCCTCTCAGAGGAAAGGTTGGATGGAGAGGAGGGGTCTCTGAGTTCTGAAGGAGATGGGTGGCCAGGGGCATGAAGGACCCAAAAGACAGGGTGAGTTTCACAGAGCCCCGAGCTCAGAAGGGCCTGGTACTTGCTAGAATGTTCTGCTGTTACCATCTTGACATTTTTAATCACTTTTTTTAGATGAGGAAATATAGTTTATTTAAAAACTAAATTAGAAAGAGAGAGAGAGAGAGAGAGACAGAGAAAGAGGAGAATCTCCTTCCCAAGGTAGGGAAGGGGGTCAAAACTTAAGAAAACATGGCCTGGCCTTAGCTCAAAGAGCACATGGTGACACCATAGCTTAGCAAGGCAATGGAGCCTTAATTACTTTTGAACAGGGGCTCTGCATTTTCATTTTGCGGGGGCCCCACAACTGCCTGGGCGGGTTTGCAGGAGGGTGAGAATGCCTAGGGTAGTGAGGACTACAAGGCCCTGGGGTGGAGCTGAGAGGCTGAAAGCTCTAAGCTCTGGCTATCGTGGGAGAAAACTCACCCTGGAAAGTTCATCACTCAACATAGGACCTCACCAGTGACAGTGTAGAAGCGGTGAGTGTCTAAGTCCTAAATCAGGCCTATGTCAGGCAGTGAAGTCATTGTTTCCAGGGCAATCAACAACTGTAGTCCATAGAGCAGGCAGCAGTGATTCCTGAAAGGTGCTCTGCCCAGCCCCAGGGCTTGATTTCCTGGCTGGGCATGGGCATGGCCAGCTGAAAGCAATCTTTGTGTATCTTGCTTCTTGCTCTGTGTACAGAATCTAAAGGGAGTAAGTCCTATCTGGCCATAAGGTGAGGCCCAGAATTTGATCTGGGGAAGGTTGTTGCTCATGGGCTTGGGCAGGACTGGGGTGGGGTAGGGGAGTAACTCTTACTCTGGGATAAATAGGACCTGGGTTAGAATCCCTACTCTGGACAAGGGCCTTTACCTCTTGGAGTTTCTATTTTATTTTATCTTATTTAATTTAATTTAACTTAATTTAATTTAATTGAGACAGAGCCTTGCTATATTGCCCAGGCTGGTCTTGAACTCCTGTGCTCAGGCAATCCTCCGGCCTCAGACTTCCAAAGTGCTAGGATTACAGATATGAGCCACCACACCCAGCCACACAGCTTTAATTTCATTATTGGTACACTAAGAGGAAACTGTAATACCTAATTTTCTGGGTCATTATTAAAATTGAGGTGATATTAATATATATGGAACTGCTTTGCATGGTACCTGGCACAGAATGCTCAGTTATTGTTCACAGTTCTCCTTATTAGCTGAGTCCTAGGGTCTCTCAAAGGATAGTGCCACCAACATACTGAATTTACTCCTATTCAGATCTGGCCTTCAACTTGGCAGACTTAGGTTAGATTTTTATGCACTCGGGTCAACCAGCTCCTTGGGGGCAAATCCTGTTTCCCAGGCCCTGATGGACATATGAGACTGATTAGGGCATGGCTAAGGTGTCCTTTCAGAGGGATCGGCTAACCCACCTCTGAGAGCAGGGTATGAGAGAGTCCTAGGGCAGGAGCTAAAGGCTGACTTTGTTCCCCTGGGCCTTGCTGGTGTATTCTGGCTCTAGGCCTTAGCTGCATGAGGGTTCTCCTGCAGTCCCTGGTACAGAGTGGGATGTGGGGTGGTATAGCCCTGAGCATCCCAGGCTGAAGTGGATGAAGTTTTCTTGCTGCTGGGCATGACAGGCTGAACCCACTGACTTGGTTGACCCCTACCTTCCTGACAGAGCACTCAGAGACTCCTTGGGCCCAGGTTTCATTTGCAGAAGAGACAGCATGGTCGTAGTGACTACATTCATATCACTGCAGATTGTTAGGTGGGGACAAGTAACTTGTCCTAGCTTGTTGTCTGAGCTGTCAGTACTCTCACCCCAACTTCTTCACTGAATGGGCTTCTACAGTCCCCAGAGCTGTCTTGTCCCTCCCTCCTCTACCCAGGTTCCATTTTGCAAACTTCGCTGGGGAATGACAGCATGACCCAGTCAAGCCAAGCGATCTAGGACTCCCGAGGCTTTGGATGCTCTGTTCTCTATTTTCCCTCTCCATTCTTTCTCTCTTTCATGCTTTGGATTTTTGAGATTTCTCATTCTGAGAAGTCTCATATCTCTCAGCTATTCTAGAAATTTATTGGCAATTATCTCTTCGAATATTGCATCTTTTCCATTCTCTCTACCATATCTTTCTGGGATTTCAATTAAAATGTAGGTTAGGCCTTTTCATGGTATCCTATGTTACTCAATTTTTTCATAATTTTAACAATTAATTATTTTAATTAATAATTTTAATAATCAATTTTCTGTTAATTTAGTTCATTTTCAAATGTGATTTGTCAATTTTTAATGGTTTCTTGCTTCTTGCCATATATTTTTTCTTTTTTAAAAAATAGAGATGAGGTCTTGCAATGTTGCTCAGTCTGATCTTGAACTCCTGGGCTCAAACTATCTTCCCCCTCGTCCTCCCAAAATGTTGGGATTACAGGTGTGAGCCACTATACTTGGCCCCTGCTCATATTTTTAAGGCCACTTATTTCTTTGAGCACATTATACATGCTTATTTTATCTTCTGTTTCTGATAATTCCAGTGTTGGAAGTATTGAAGAGATGAATTCTGGTACTTGTAGTTTCTGCTCACTCTCACTTAATGGTGCCTTGTTTCCACTTTGTGAAATTTTTGCCTGTGAGTTTATATTTCTTGGAAATTTATCTGTGGGAAATCTTTGGAGGTGACCGAGGTCAGGACACTTTGTGGCTACTCTCTTCCATTGGGAAGCCCTCTCTTCGTTTTCAACTGAAGTCTGGTGACACTGTTTCTTCTTCCTGCCTTTAGAAGCAGTAATGACTTCCCACTGTTTCTGATTCCTGGGTACTCTAACATTCTTTGGTAGTTCACTATCCTTACTTTGTAAGTAGCCCTGTCATTGAAAATCTCTTCAAAAATGTCAACCGAGCATATCATCTGTTTTTTGCTGGGACCCTGAGTGATACAATCTATTTAAAGAGGATTTAATAAGTACTAGTTATTATTGTTATTGAGATTATTTTTCATTTAGGGAAACTTTCAAGTAAACTCAGGCAAAAATAATGATGAAGCTGAAGGACATGTGTCTCAAACTGGTTATGCTGGAAGAAGAGTGGAATGAAGGAAAATCTCAGTCTCCACTTCTAAACACTCAGTCTCTCTAGGGAACTCACAAGCTCCACCCACCATCATCCTATACTACCTTAAAGGTCCATTATTACTATCCCCTTTTCCCGCCCCATCCTTCCCTCTTGTTTACCTTGGAGGGCCACAAAATGAGGGAGGTACACAGCTGCCACGGCGGCGCCTGGCTCAGCCTTGATGTCCAACAGTGGCCCTGCCACCATCCAGCTGTGCCGTGAAATGGTTCTGCCAAGGAACTGGCCCCAGGCACAGAATTCCATCTTGATGGTCACTGCCTCTCTTACTACAAAGCAGAGGCCTGTGTTGGACCAGTGGTAGGAACCAGCACTGGGGAAGTGAACTCTGGGAAGAAGAGGGAGAGGTGGACACTAATTACACAAACTCACTGAGCACCTATTGGATGCCATATCCCATGCTGAGGCTGTGGAAACAGCTGAGACTTCAGAGTCAGGCGGGCTTGGGTTTTAGTCCTGATTCCTCTGCTCTTTGGCTGTGGATCCCTGGGCAAGTCATTCACACTCCCTATTCTCAGTTTCCTCATCTGTAAAAAGGGAATAATGCCAGCACTCATTTCCTACAGGTGTGATAGTGACTAATGCATGCTGACAGCTTAGTACATGCCTGGGAGCAATTAGCCGCTTCTGTTATCATGATGACAACAATGATGATGATGAAATAAGCACATCTTCTTCTTCTTATTTTTTTGAGTCAAGGTATCACTCTGTTGCCCAGGCTGGAGTGCAGTGGCACAATCATGGCTCACTGCAGTCTTGACCTCTTGGGCTCAAGTGATCCTCCCTCCTCAGCCTCCTGAGTAGCGTGCCACCATGCCTGACTAATTTTTGATTTTTTGACAGGGTCTTGCTATGTTGCCCAGGCTTGTCTTGAACTCTTGGGCCCAAGCAATCCTCCCACCTCGGCCTCTCAAAATGCTGGGATTATAGGCGTGAGCCACCGCACCTGGCCGCACGTATTTTTATTATTCTACTTACCAACAGTTAATAGCAATCTACATGCTATTATTAATGATAAACCTTTGGAGTTGAAAATAGTCCTTTACAAAGGCTCCCCATGTGGCAAATGGTGGGGTCCCGGAACACCAGCTTCTGGAGGTAAGGGTTGGGGGTGACACTGTCTTTAAAGATAATGTCTCTGCCAGTGTTTGGTGGGTGCTAATGTGTTATATAAGAAATTGTGATAATTATTATAGGCATTTATTACTTATGTGACTATAAGTTATTGGAGAGCAGGGTTTCCATGTTTATCTTAAGGCTCCCAGCTTAGTATGGACTTTAGCTCATGTCAGCTATCAATACAACAGAAGGACACAGATTGAAAAAGCTTTAATAGATACAACAAACTAAGTAAAATGAATGGACTTGTTCGGATCATGATAAGAACAAAATATCTGCAAGAATACATTTTAGACAACTGAGCAAAGTTGAATACAGATGAAGCATTAGATGGTATGAAGGACTTACTGCCAGCTTTATTAGATGTGATAATGGCATTGTGGTTATGAAAAAAAGGGTAGATCTTTACTTTTATTTTTTGAGATGCAGAACGAAATATTTAAAGATAAAATCACCCCATTTCTTGAATTTAAAATAATGTCACAATAACAAAGAGGGGGAATTGAACAGATGAAACAAATTTGGCCAAATGGTGGTTGAAGCTGAATAATGTGTCCACAGAAGTTCCTTGTACTATCTTTGTGTATGTTTGAAAAATTTCATAATAAAACATCTCTTTTCCATAACAAAAAGCACACATCCAGTGTCTCAGCCCTGTCCCTGCCTGCTGGCTTGGCAAGGAGAGGGGACCCACTGGTGAGTGAATGGGGTGCTGACAGTCTGTGGGGACCCAGTGTGGGGGGTTGGGTGGGGGAGGCCAGCCTGGGACCGGCAGAGCCCCCTCACTCACCGGTGCAGGCTCCTCTCTTCATCAACTACTTCAGTAGCCACAGGCCCCATGGGGCCCCAGAATTCATCTTTGGTTCCCAGAGACTCCACATGCAGGTTCCCCGGAGAGGCAGGAAAAGACAGACAGAAAGATTCCACCTGAGCTACCTGTGGGGAGCTTCCCTCTGGAACAGCAGGGCAGTGGTCAGCTCTAGGTTCTCCTGCCTCATCTCCCTGGCTCCTCTGGCTGAACTATGAAGGGCCCTTCCCAAGCCTGGCTTGCCTTGACTGTGGCAGGGAGTGTGTCTGTAGCCTCCATCCCAACTCCTGGGGCTGCCTGTCTACTTTCTGGGGAGGCCCATTCCACTGCCCCCAGCCCAGCCTCAGCCCACCTCCCCTTCCCACTGGTCCAGAAGTGTCACTCTTCCCAATATGTCCCAGGTGGGCATGTTGAGAGAGGAACATGCCCTCAAAAGATGATTGGACAGGTATGGAGAGGTGATGCCTAGGTCTTGGCAGCCCAGAATGGGATACTACACCCTGGTTCAGAGTTAGATGGATGCCATAGATGTTCTGACGGGGTCAGAACGAGCCCTTGAGGCTGGGAGAAAGGGAAGCAGAAATCTAGCCAGGGTCTAGAAGCAGAAGATCTCTCATGGGCTGGGGCCCTCCTAGGTGGAGAACCTGCCCTGTCCCTCATCAGAGGCAGGAGGATAGAGATGACCTCCCAGAACTGCCTTCTCCCATCCCATCATGATGCTCCTGGCCTGGCCCCTTCAAATTACCTGATTCTTGTCTCTGTCGCTTGAGTGAGGACCTGTTACTATCCATCTCTTCTCCATCTGGGCCCTCATTAGGGGTCATCACACTTGGCTTCCTGGACACAAAGTTGTTCATCTTGGAGGAAGCTAGGGCTGTCTACATGACATCTCCACTTAGAATTCAACTTATTCAAAAAATCTTAAGATGAATTGCACATAATCCGCTCATTTGAATTTGAACTCAGTTCGGTGCATCTGTGGTACCAGTCTACCAGTCTGTGTGAATGGCCCCCATCCACCCATCCACCCATCCACCCCTCCACCCACACCAGATCTGGGCATCATCCCTGCTCCTCCCCCACTTATTCTGAGAACTGGTCACCTTGGTAACACCTCCCAAATAGCCCTTCTTTCTATTCTCTTCTCTCCACTTCCATGACCTCCACCCTAGTCCCAGCCTCTGGCATCTGTGGCCTGCATCTCTGCAGTGTCCCCTGAAAGGTCTCCCTGCTTCTGCTAGGTTCCTCTTCAGCTCAGTTTCCACAAAGTAGCTGATCTTAAATAGGAACACTTCAATTAACAGCTGAAGACCTGTAATGTCTCTCCATTGCTTCTGGGGCAAAATGAAAAGTTCTTAATATGGTCCAAAAGGTCTTGCTTGGGCCCCTGTCCTGTTCCAACATCTGTGCCACTTTCTCCTGCTTACTGACCTCTAGATCTTGGTGGTCCTCAAATTCAGAGTCCTTAAAAATTACCTGGAGGACTTGCTGAAACAGATTCCTGGGCCCCACCCTAGAGATTTTGATTTAGCAGGTCTGGAGTGGGGCCTAAGAATCTGCAGTTCTATCGAGTTCCTGTGGGTTGGTGATGCTGCTGTTGATAGTCCACAGAGCTTACTTTGAAGAGTTGCTTCTGATGCCTGTCCTCCTTCTATTTCTCAACAGAGTTAAGTCTTTCCTCTCTGTCTCTATCTCTGCTTGGAGCCGACTTCTTTTTGGCCCAACCACCCCCTTTCATCTTTCAGAGCTCAGCTCAGCTCCTTTGCACAAGGTCAGATAGGTCCATCAGTGTATGCACACCGACCCCAGGTGCAATTACACAGACTTGTAGGGTATCTTGTGCTCAAATGCCTGCTGGACGACACACCTGGAGGTTGGTCCAGGTCTTTCTTGTTCACTGCTGTGTTCTAGGATCCCAAAATAGTGCCTGACACACAATGGGTCTATAGGGGGTGTGTGTTTAATGAATGGCCCATCCCTCCTAAACCAGGAGCTGTTTCCCTTCCATTTCAGATGAGGCATAGCAGCCAGGAACTTGGGGACAGGTGACCTCATGGTCATAGTCTAAAATGCTCCCAACTAGGGGAACATGGGAACTGCAGCAGATTCCTGTAGGTGGAAGATGAACTCTCCTGTCCCCAGGGGTCACCCCTCAAGCTAGAGGTGTGTGTGTGTGTGTGTGTGTGTGTGTACGCGTGTGTAGTGATAGTGAGGTTGTCTTTGTCCCAAGGTGCTCTCTCTCTCTGTCTTTGACTCCCCCTTGCGGTCATTGTGTTGGTTGCTGCAAATCTTCATTGAAGGAACCTGTCCTAGCAGCCATTAGGTGTCAGGCTACACTGGGTTCAGAGGATGCACTCAACTCTTTACTCACTCACTCACTTACTCACTCATTTACTCATCTACTTACTTTTTCTTTTCTTTTTTTGAGTGGAGCCTCACTCTGTCGCCTAGGCTGGAGTGCAGTGGCATGCTCACAGACGCCGCAGCCTTGACCTGCTGGGCTCAGGCAATCCTTCCCCCTCAGTCTTCCAAGTAGCCAAAACTGCAGGTGTGCGCTACCACACCTGGCTAATTTTTTGATTTATTGTAGAGACGAGGTCTCACCACGTTGCCCAGGCTGGTCTTTAACTCGTGGCCTCAGGCAATCCTCTTGCCTCAGAGTACTGGGATTACAGGCTTGAGCTACTGTGCCTGGACACCTTACTTTTTCATTTCCTTATTCATCTAATGGAAGAATTTAAGCAGGGAGTTGATTTGATTTTATTTGCACTAAACAGACAGACCTCATTTCGTGCCTGTGGTTTCTCAGTTCCTTTCTGACTTGGTTTTTTTCTCATCCCAAGACGCTTTCCCTACCTTGTGGCCCAACCCTGGGCCTGGGTCAACCATACAGATCTCTGGGCCCATCCCTTACCATATGCTGGAGATGAGCAGCAGGGGCCTCTCTTCCTCCACTGCCCTCAGTTCCTCTCTCACCTTGTCACTCAGAGGGGTCTGGTCCAGCCTGCAAGCACAAAGGGGGCTTGGCTCTCCTGGGGTCCCCACGTGATCCCCAGGTCCTCAGGGCCCCAAATCCTTCAATCTGCCACCTTCTGAAGGAAATGATCGTAGGGTTGGATCCCTGCGAGTCAGGCTCTGAGAGGGACAGTAGAATGAGGAGGTTTATTAGGGAGAGTTTTGGGTTGACACCAGGGCATGGGAAGGGAGGGAAGTGGGACTGGGCAGATGGAGAATTGCAGGTAGTGTGGTCTCTATGGAGGCCTCTGTGGACAATATGGGCAGTAGTGAAACTGGGATGACCCTTTAGAGCTGCCCGGAGTCAGGATGAGGGGTTGGGCCTTTATACCCCAACATTGGGTATACCCATGGATGTGGGCCTTCCGGGGAGGGAGAGGTGGCCTTGGGTGAGGTGGCTTTTACTGGCAGAGGCCATTTCTAGCCGGTTGCCAGTGGCATTCCCCATGACCTCAAAATGACCACCTAGGGACTGGGTCCTGGGATTTCCTTCCCAAATGACAGAAGTTTTGCTGGAAAGAGAGAGGTTTGGTTTCATTCTCACAGACCTTGGTTCTGGGGTGTCTGTGTGATTTGGGATAGTTATTGCCTTCTCTGGGCCCTTGTGTCTTCAATCTACATTGGATGAATCATTCCTGTTCTGCCTGTTATGAGGCATAGGCAGGAAGTTAAAAGACCCTGCACCTTTCAAGGGCTCTGCATTTGTCACCCTACTGCTATCAGAGCTGTTCTCCTCCTAGGGCGAGAGTGGAGCTCTCTAAGTAGAAAGGTGTCCCTCTCGACCAAGTCCTGGCTCCAGGACAGAAGGAGGTAGAAACTTTCACAGGACTTCGGAGAGCAAACTCCCCTCAGAGGCAGCCCAGGTTTGACAAGTTAAGTGTGGAGTTGGAGCCTGAATCCAGATCTCACAGCCACTGCAGCCTCGACCTGCTGGACTCAGGTGATCCTTGCTTCAGCCTTCTAAATAGCTGGAACTACAGACACGCACTACGAGGTCTCACCATGTTACCCAGGCTGATCTCGAACCTGTGGACTTAGACAATTCTCTCGTCTTGGTCTCCCAAAGTGCTGGGATTATAGGCTTGAGCCACCGTGCCCGGCCATTATTTTTCTTTTTTTAAGTTGGGGTCTCACTCTGTTGTCCAGGTTGTGTGCGGTAGCATAGTCACGGCTCACCACAGTCTCGACCTTGTGGGTGATCCTTCTGCCTCAGCCTCCCACATAGCTGAGACTACAGGTGTGCACAACCACATCCAGTTAGTTTTTCAATTTTTTTTTTTTTTGAGATAAGGTCTTTCTATATTGCCTAGGCCGATCTTGAACTCCTGGGTTCAAGCAATCCTCCCACCTCAGCCTCCAAAAGTGCTGGGTTTACAGGCATGAGCTGCTACACCTGGCCAGTCTGTTTTTACATATGTTTCATCTCATTATAATCCATGTGGAGGGTTTGATATTCCCATTCACAGATAAAGAACCTGAGTTTCAGAGAAGACAGTGACTTGTCTGAGTCATATGGTGTAAGTAAGTGGTGGAACTGGTAAGAAACCCAGGCTGACAATGCGTTCATCAGTACCTTTTCCTTCCCCTGTCCAACCACCTTCCATCTCGCCACTCTCCCTTCCCTGCTCTCTGCCCAGAAGGGACCCACGAGGCCTTACCACAGGAGCGTGAGTTGACAGGTGGGTTGTCTGAGCCCTTCACAGAGCAGCTTCACGCCGAGGTTGCCCAGGTCATTTTGCTGCAGGTCTAGCTCTGTTAGGCTGGGGCTGGCGCTGAGCACAGAGGCCAGGTCCTGGCAGCAACTGGTTGTGAGGCCACAGCTGACCAGCCTGCAGGAGAGATGCACACAGGCCTCATTGTCCTGAGGGCTCACTCTTCTGGATAAGTGGAGCCTAGTCTCCGTTCCTAGTAGCTGTGACCTTTTGGGGCCCCTGGGCTGACATTAGGGAAGATAAAATCTCTCCTGGCTTGTAGTAACCTGGGAGATTTTATTTTTTATTTTTATGTTTTTTTGAGTTGGAGTCTCACTCTGTCACCCAGACTGGAGCGCAGTAGCTGCTCCCGGCCACCGCAGCCTCGGCCTGCTGGGCTCCGGCAATCCTTCTGCCTCAGTCTTCCAAGTAGCTGGAACTACAGGTGCGTGCTACCCAGGCCCAGCTAATTTTTGATTTATTGTAGAGATGAGGTCTCGCCAAGTTGCCCAGGCGGGTCTTGAACCCGCGGCCTCAGGCAATCCACTCACCTCGGCCTCCCAAAGCGCTGGGATTACAAGCTGAGCCACCGAGTCCGGCCACCTGGGAGATTTTAACATTCCTTTTGCAGCCAAGGAGTCCGCCAGGATCCAGATGACCCCCCTTTCTCACTACTGTGTCATTCACTTGAATCCTGTCCACTCACCATGTCAACCTTGATGAGTAATTTACCCAGTATTCCACTTGTATAACTGGTACTAATTGTTAACCTCATTGGTCCTCCCGCACACCTAGAATCAACTGACATTGGACACGGTGGTGGGTTTCAACAGGACAGGCATCAACAGCCCAGGAGAATAATGAGTGAGCTAATATAAGAATAAAAGTTGAGGGTCGGGCATGGTGGCTTATACTTGTAATTCCAGCATTTTGTGAGACCGAGGCTGGAGGATTGCTTGAGCCCAGGAGTTTGAGACCAGCCTAGGCAACACAGTGAGGCCTCATCTCTACAAAAAAAACCCCAATAAATTAGCTGAACATGGTGGTGTGCACCTGTAGTTCCAACTACTCAGGAGACTGAGGCAGGAGGATTGCTTGAACCTGAGGTCAAGGCTGCTGTGAGCCGTGATTGTGCCACTGCACTTCAGCCTGGGTGACAGAGTGAGACCCCGACTCGAAAAAAAAAAAAAGAAGGAATAAAAGTTGACAGTGATTTGATGACTTCACTTGAAACTGAGGACCTACCCTGGGCTCTCCCTGCCACACTGGAGTCTGGAGCGTGTGCTGTCCCAGATCAGGGCCATGTCTGGCACCCGCACGCTATGCTGAGCAGTGTTACAACTCTGCAGCCTGCCTGGTCTTGTCTAGGTGGTTAACTCTGTCTCTCCTGCAGCTGAGTTGCAGACCCAATGAAATAGAGGTAGGGGTCCATTGGCCTGGTTCTGTAGGGTCCGGGGGAGGACCTGAGCTCCATGACATCCAGGGCAGCCTGGGTCCTCGCTGTTCATGGGCCAAGAGTCTCAGGGAGGGGGATAGACAGCTCATGTAGGAGAAGGAACAAGGATGGAAGGGCAGGCTGGCCTATGTGGTCTTTCCTGTTAGAGTCCCTCCCTGTCTCCTGCAGTGTGAGTGGTTACAGAGATGAGCTGGGCAAGGGCTAACATGGGGGTGCTTGTGATTAGGCTCATTGTGACCCATTTAATCTTGGTAAACAGTGTACCCCTTGGTTAGTAGAAGTTCTTCAGAGGGCAACATTAGCAATGCACATGCCCTTTACCCAGCAATTCTCAGAATTTAAGCTACAGAGAATACACAATATCTCAGGAGGCCTGAGGAGGATGTTAACTGCAGTACTGTTTATAGTAGCAAAGACTGGAGACATCCCAGATGCCCATAATAAGAGATTGATTAAAAAACTGATGGTAAAAATCTATGTAGTGAAAAATCTATGCTGCCATTAAAAAGAATGAAACAACTTCGCTGGTGCAGGACCATCTCCTGTACCCGGGGTGCCAAAAAAATGTATACAAATTTTAAGAGATGTTAAGAGGTGTTCACCATAACCAGAAGTGTCTGGATGCTGATGTTAAGAGGTGTTCACCATAACCAGAAGTGTCTGGATGCACTTTGAGCGCCTCTCATAATTGCAGAAGTCAAACATGGCTTGTATACATCTTATTGAGTGTTACAATTTTAATACAGTTTTTTCCTTTCTTAAAATGTATACATTTTGAATACTCTCTGTATATAAATATAAATAAATAAATGTGTGTGTGTGTGTCTCTCTCTCTCTCTGTCTATATCTATATATATCTTTCTCTCTCTCTCTCTCTCTCTCTCTCTCTCTCTATATATATATATATATATATACACATATATATATAGACCAGTCTAGGCAACACAGTGAGGCCTCATCTCCACAAAAAAACCCCAATGAATTAGCTGAACATGGTGGTGTGCACCTGTAGTTCCAACTACTCAGGAGACTGAGGCAGGAGGATATATATATATATATATCTATGCAGAGAGAGAGAGAGAGAGAGAGAGAGAGAGAGGCAGATTTTTACTCTGTTGCCCAGGCTGGAGTGCAGTGGCATGACCACGGCTCACCACAGCCTTGACCTCCTGGGCTCAGGTGAGTCTTCCATCTCAGCCTCCTGAGTAACTGGAACTATAGGTGGGTGTGAGGCATCATGCTTCACTAATTTTTAAAATTTTCATTTTTGTGTAAAGACGATGTTGCTATGTTGCCCAGGCTGGTCTTGAACTCGAACTCCTCAAGCAAGTCTCCCGCCTTGGCCTCCCAAAGTGCTGAGATTACAGGTGTGAGTCACCATGCCCAGCTTCCAATATATATTTTAAATAATAAAGTAAGGTACAGGACAGTGTTTGCAGGATGCTACCATTTATACGAGAAAAGGGCTGTGTATCTATCTAGTATGTTGCATATACCTAGACTATCTCTGGGGAAATCCTTGCTGGGAATCCCTTGCTCTTGGGGTCTCCTCTCTTGTAATACCTTTGGGTCCTACAGTTGGGTCTGCTCAGTTCCCAGCAGAACACTCAGGATCTCATCTGCCGACAAAGCTGGTGGCACGTCACACAGCACTTACAGGGTCTTAGCTAAGAGAGGGAACTGGGAAAGTAGGAAACCAGGTTTTGGCATCAGATCTGGTTTCAGATCCTTACGCTGCTGCTTCCTGGCTGTGTGACCTTGAAAAAATCAGTTAATGTCTGTGAGCCCTAATCTTGTCATCTATAGCTGTAGTGAGGATTAAGTCTTACAGGTGTTAAAGAGTTCCTAGCCTTCCAGGGATCACTGACCCCTGATATTGGAAGGGGATTCCAGTTGGCTCACCTTTCTGTTCCTCCATCCCGTCCATCCTTTGATCTCTTTGCTCAGGATTACTGAGAGGGGAAACTGGCAATGGCCCTGGGAATGGGAGAGGCTTGGCCTTGGGAAGAAGGGAGGGAAGTGCACAGTAGGACCAGAGATGTAAACAAAGATCTCTTGGGGCTCAGACAGAAACCAAAAGAGGCCCTCTGCAGGGGTTTGTGCATCAGGGGAGGGGATCCAGGGGGACCAGCCTCTGTATGGTAGAGGGCAAGGCTCTGTCCCCTTCAGGTAGAAGACTGAATTAAGTAGACAATGACGACTTTAGTTCTCCATACCTGAGCCCCATATGCCAAGCAGGAGGACCTGTTAACTAGGTAGACCACAGCTGATGAGAATAGGGGAGGAAGAACTCACAAAAGTTCTATGAAGTCGGTATTATGATCATCCTCCTCTAGATTAGACTGTGACAATGGCCACACATTCTCCTCTCCTCCCCCAGTCCTACCTTGCATCCACGCCCCTTGGGAGTGTCCTCTCATCAAGAGCTAGAGTTTATCCTCTATTCCTGGAATCTGGGCCTGGATAACCGAACGTAGTGGCACACACCTATAGTCCCAGGTACTTGGGAGGCTGCAATGGGACCTGCTCTGGCCAACGGGATGATAGCAAGTGTGATTCAGTCTGGAAAGGTGCTTGTGCACTGGGACTTGGCTTCCCTTGCTGCATTTAGAGCTCTGGGGCCACCTGCCTCAGTCCCAATGTGGATGACCTTTCTCCTGAGCCTCCACAGCAAGGCTTAGATTCCATAGGCTCCTCCCCACCCCCTAAAGCAGGTAGGTCTTACCTCCCCCCATTCCCCTCGGTCTGCCCCCCCCGGCCTGCCCCATGGAAGCAGCAGCTCCCTGCACCCCTCCATGCCCACCCACAAGGCAGTGCCAACCCAGGAGCAATTACTGCAGTTGCTGTAGCCTGCAGCTCGGCTGTCTCAGCCCCTGGCAAAGGTGTTCAACTCCGGCATCTGTGAGCACATTGAAGCTCAGCTCCAGCTTGGTCAGAGTCTGACTGGTGCTCAGTGCAGAGGCAAGGTCCTTGCAACCCTCAGCGGTGAGGCTGCAGTCGGCCAACCTGTGGGAGACACACACCGTGGCCTTGAGTTTGCTCACCCATTGATTCAACAAACACCCACAAGCACCCAGTGATCACCTGCTGTGGGCTTTACTGCTGGTAAAACCCTCTCTAGACCTCAGAAATGCACAGGCTACTGAGGGATAGACAAAGAAACAAATAACAGTAATTAGCCTTTGGATCTTTTTGGATCAAAACCCTTCAAAGTTTCCCCACATCACTCAGAGTAAAATTCGAGGTCTCTGTCCTGGTCTACAGGGCTCTGGTGACTTGGATCCTTGTCATCTCTGTCCTCATCTCTAATGTCTTTTAACTCATCTTTGTTGGCCTTTTCCCTAAACACCTCAGGCACAGTCCCTACCCCAGGACCTTTGCACCTGCTATATTTTCTGCCAGGGGCAATCTTCTCACCTGATATCCCATGGTTTGTTCCCTCACTTGCTTCAGGTCTCTACTCAAAAGTAAGTCACCTTGGTGAAACCTTGCCCCTCCACGTCACTGTTTAAAATTGCATGCCCACCCCAGACTCCCTACTCCTTTCTGTTGCACTTTTTTCTATAGCCCATGTCGCAGAAAATATATTTTACTTACTTATTTGGCTTCTTGTCTCTCTCCCCCTCCAGAATGTAAGCTCCATGAGGAAGGAATTTTGCCCATTTTTGCACTAGCTTTACCCCAGTGCCTAGAGCAGTGTCTAGCATACAATAGGCACTTAATAAGTATACACGGAATGAATGAATATATGAGTGAATGAATTAAATAGCATCAAAAGAGGGGCAAGTCAGGTGCAGTTGAAGGCAGAGGAATAAGTGATTATCAAGGAGGTGGGGGAGGAGAAGGTGTGCCTTGAATGAGTAGTTCACCAGGGTGAGGGTGGCAGGAGGGACTCCTGGCTGGCAGGACAGATGTGAAATTACTGCAAGTGTTCAGTGTAGCAAGTTTGGCACAAAGGCTACTTGGGGTCAGGGCAGGGTGGGGGTGGGGGGGTCGAAGTCTGAGGGAAAAACTAGAAAATATTAAGATAGTGGAATGTCATTATAAGGTGTCTGGACCTTGTTCAGGTGGCAGTGATGAACCCACGAAAGTTCTTGAGGACTGCAGGGATGTGATCTTTGCATGGCTTTGAAAAGATCCCTGACGTGAGTAGAGGTGGCTGGGCAGGGTGAGGCAAGAAGCAAGTGGTCTAGGTGGGAGGATGAGCACTTGGGTCAGAGCAGTGGCTATGGGAGATGTTTCAGATAGACCGGACGACACTTGGTGGCCCAGGGAGGCTTCTAGATTGAATATGGAGCTGCTGCTGCTTACTGAGAGATTAGATGTGAGAGGAGGGTTAGTTTCACAGGCATACAACCAGGGCGGTTGCACAGGCCTTGCACTCAGAAGGGCTCAGAATTTGGGTGGGGGCAGGGGTGGGGTGTGGCAGGGGGAGGTTTATGCTCTGTGGCTGCCACCTTGAATTTCTTAATAATTTCATCTTTGAATCTGTGTTTTCTAAGTGAAGTCTGATAGGACAATGGAACCTTGGCTCCTGTGCAATCCTATCTCCTGCCACCTCTTTCTTCCTCTGTGGGAAGAGTTCTTGGCTACCCCACTTCCCTGCCTCTGGCTGCTGGCTGTTGTAGGGCCTCCACCCAGCCGTCCCCCTGGTCCAGCGACTGCTGTCACCCTCTATCTCCAGTGGAGGCCTGGGTCAGGTATTGGGAGGTTGGGGTAGGGAATCTTGGGGGAGGGCATGGGGGCAGCTGTCCCTACTCTGGGCTGGCAGCATCACAGTACATTTGGTGACTTCAGGGGCAAGTCTTTCACCCATTGTTGACTTGGATATCTAGTGCATCTTGGCAATACCCTGGTGGAGGGGTCTCCCACCTGCTGTGGGTTGGAGTGGCGGGGCCATGAGAAGGAGAGATATCTGACTTGACTTTTTTACCTGCTCTGAGGGCACAGTGCCTGGGTCTGGGTGGAAAAGGGCACTTATTTATTTATTTATTTATGAGTTGGAGTCACTCTGTTGCCCAGGCTGGAGGGCAGTGGCATGCTCTCAGCCACTGCAGCCTCAACCTGCTGGGCTCAACCTGCCTTCTTCCACCTCAGCCTTCCAAGTAACTGGAACTACAGGCACGCGCCACCACGCCCAGCTAATTTTTTATTTATTGTAGAGGTGAGGTCTCACCAAGTTGCCTGGGCTGATCTCGAACCTCTGAGCTCAGGCAATCCTCTCACTTCGGCCTCTCAAAGTGCTGGGATTATAGGCGTGAGCCACCACACCCAGTTGGCACCTATATATGATGGGCCACATGCACATGCCAAGTTGTAGGCAGGACTCCCCAGGTACCTTCGAGGATCTGCATGCAATCTGCTAGTGTCCCAGTGCTTGACGGAGTGCAACATTAAATAACAAATATAAGACCAGGCACGGTGGCTCACTCCTGTAATCCCAGCACTTTGGGAGGTTGAGGTGAGAGAATTGCCTGAGCCCAGGAGTTCAAGACCAGCCCGGGCAACTTGGTGACCTCATCTGTACAATAAATCAAGTAAATTAGCTGGGTATGGTGGTCAGTGCCTGTAGTCCCAGCTACTTGGAAGGCAGAAGGATCACTTGAGCCCAGTAGGTTGAGGCTATGGTGGTAGTAAGTGTGCCACTGCACTCCATCCTGGGCAACAGAGTGAGACACTGACTCAAAAAAAAAAAAAAAGCAAACATACCAGACCATGACAGGTTGAGAGAGAAACTATGGAGGAAAGAAAAAAGCTTTATATCTTAGTACTTTTTTTTTTGAGTCAGGGTCTCACTCTGTCACCCAGGCTGGAGCGCAGTGGCCCAATCCTGGCTTACCGCAGCCTGAACCTCTGGGGCTCAGGAGATCCTTCCACCTCAGCCTCCCAGTAGCTGGGACTACAGGCAGTTGCCTGGCTACATTTTTGATTTTTTTTTCTATAGATGAGGTCTTGCTAGGTTACCCAGGCTGTTCTCAAACTCCTATGCTCAAGCGATCCTCCCACCTTGGTCTTCCAAAGTACTGGGATGGGATTACTGACATGATCCACTGCACCTGGCATCCTCATGTCTTTGATTTTACGTCCTCTGGCTTCTCCTCTGACCATGCTCTTGCTGGCATCCCCTCATTGAGATCTCCAAACTCTCCTCTACCAACTCCTTCTCCTGTGTCTGTGTAATACACTCAATTTTACATGTCCATTAAGAAAACAACAGAATTCTTGATGCCAGCCTATTCAGTGTATTTCAAGAGAGATTAAAAAATGAAATAAGCCAGACATAGAAAGAAAAATATTGCATGATCTTATTTTTTAGCACCAAATAATAGTCCATTGTTTGGCTCTACTGCAGTTTATCCATTCACCTACTGAAGGATATGTTGATTGTTTCCATGTTTTGGCCATTACGAATAAAGCTGCCCTATACATTTATGTGCAGGTTTTTGTGTGTATCCAGGTTTTCAACTCATTTGGGTAAATACTAAATAGCATGATTGCTGGAGCGTATGGTCAAAGTATGTTTATTTTTGTAAACACTGCCAAACTCTTCCAAGTGGCTGTACCATTTTGCGTTCCCACCAGCAATCAATGAGAGTTCTTATTGTTCTATATCCTTACCAGCATTTGGCGATCAGTGTTATGGATTTTGGTCATTCTAAATGGGTATGTAGTGGTATCTTTTCTTTCTTTCTTTTGTAAAACATAGACATTTGATCAGGTGAGGTGGCTCATACCTATAATCCTAGCACTTTGGGAGGCCAAGGCGAGTGGATTGCTTGAGCTCAGGAGTTTAAGACCAGCCTGGGCAACATAGTGAGACCTCGTCTCTACAAAAAAGCAAAAAATTAGCCGGGTGTGGTGGTAACTACCTGTAGTCCCAGTTACTCAAGATGCTGAGGTCAAAGGATTGCCTGAGTTCAGGAGGTGGAGGCTGCCGTGAGCCATGATCATCATGATCATGCCATTACACTCCAGCCTGGGTGACAGGGTAAGATCCCAACACACACACACACACAAACACACACACACACACACACACACACGCACACACACACACACACACACACACACACACACACACACACACACACTCTCTCTCTCTCTCTCTCTCTGTCTTTCCCTCTCTCTTTCTCTCTCTCTCTTTTATAAAAATAAGCATTTTTAGCTATACATGTGCCTTTAAGCACTGCTTTAGCAGCATACAGTAAGTTTTAGTATCTTGCATTTTTGTTTTAATTCATCTCAAAGTATTTTTCAATTTCCCTTGTGATTTCTTCTTTGAATAACCAGCTATTTAGGAGTGTCTTGGATCCTAAAACCAACAAGCATAAGATCACACTCATGACACTCCAACCACTCTTCTGTCAGAATTTCCCATCTCAGCAAAGGTGTCACTTTTCCATGAGTTGTTCTGGCCAAAACCTAAGGTCATTTTTGATGTTTTCCTCTTCCTTTTTTTTCTAAATGCAATCAATTACTGATCCCAGTTATTTTATTTTTATAGCTCTCTTGAATTGAGTCACTTCTTTAATCTCCATTGCCAATACCACAGTCCAAATTGTCACTGTTTCTTACAGACACTATTGTGATTTTCCTTAGTCAAAGCTATCACCATTTTTAAAGGAACTACATCAATTGTCTTACTGTTTTCTCAATTTCTGTTTTTATACCCTTCCAATCCATTTTTCACAATGCAGCCAGTTTCTATTTTGAAAATGTACTGCCGGGCATGGTGGCTCATGCCTGTAATCCCAGCACTTTGGGGGCGCTGAGGCAAGAGGATTGCCTAAGCGCAAGGGTTCAAGACCAGCCTGGGCAACTTGGCGAGACCCCCATCTCTACAATAAATAAAAAAATTAGCTGGGAGTGGTGGCGTGCACTTGCTGCACCAGCTACTTGGAAGACTGATGCGGAAAGATCACCTGAGCCCAGCAGGTTGAGATTGCGGTGGCCGTGAGTGTGCCACTGCACTCCAGCCTATGTGAGTGAGACTCTCCAATTCAAAAAAAAAAAAGAAAAAAAAAAGAAAATGTATGGATCTTGTCAACCTTAAAATTCTATTGCATTGGGAAAAGACCCCAAATTCCAACATGGCTCACAGGCCTTGCATAGTCTGGTTCTTGCTGATCTTTGTGTCTTCATGTGACCACTTTGCTCTCTGCCCTTCCCACTGACCTGCTTTCAATTCCTTGACTGCCTTGTCTTCCTTCTGCCACAGGGTCTTTGTACACACCATTCCCTCTACCTGAAACTTTCTTCATCCTGCTTTACTTAGTTAAATTCTCTGTATTCTTCAGACCTCCTTCAAGCCTCAAGGAAATTTCTCCACTGAAATCCTTATCAGGGCCTGTTATTACATGTTTATTAATATGGCTTGTTGATTAATGTAAGTCTCTTGCAAACTCCGAGAGAAAAAAATCCTGTTTGTTTGTTTACCATAGTAGCCCTGGCACCTGTCACAATGCATGGCCAGAGAGGGACTCAATGAATATTTGATCAATACAAAGCCTAATCCCTCATTCTAGACTCAGCTTCTGCCTTGAATTTCCTGCTTATCCCTGTCTCAAGCAGAACCCAGGCCAGACTCACTGCAGCGTCTCCAGGTGGCAGCGAGGGTGTCTCAGGGTTTCACAAAGACTCTGCACTGCCGAGCAGTTCAGCGAGTTTCCACTCAGGTCCAACTCCTTCAGGCTTCCAGTGATCTTGAGAATGGAGAAGAGAACATGCCAATAGGCGTCTGTGACCGGGATCCACTTGAACCTGAGGGAGAGAGAAAGGGACAGGAGAGATGTGATCGTGTGTAGGGGGTCTGAGGGCTGCAGCCCTGCACAACACCGAGTGGCTCTGTCCCCCTGAGCACCAGGTCTCAGTCATCAGTGCCATCCCCAGGACTGACTAGCTTTCCTGCCTGTCCCTCTGCCCTGACACCTTCAGTTAGGTGCCACTCCTCTGTGTGGCTCCTCATTCTACAGTCCTTACCATAGCACACCTAAGTGTTCATTTTGAGTGTCTCTTTCTGCCTCAGTCTGGGAGTTCCTTGAGGGTGGGGCAGATACTTGTCATCTTTTTAATCTGCAATGCCCAGCATAGGGCCTGGCACAGAGGAAGAGAGTGGTAATTTGGACAGCCTTCCTCCTTTTGGTGCAGGCATACCTATCTTCCTTTGGCACAAACATTCTGGAGTCCCTGTGCCCAGAAAAGAAAGGAGGAGATGGGAGGTGGGAACAGGAACAGAGGCTGGGAGAGGGGTCTGAGGATGACTCAGGATGTATATGGTCATCTATACTGCTGTCCAAGTGGGCTCACATGGGGCTCTATCCCCTTCCAAGGACAGCAAGATCCCGGAGAGGGTCCACAGAGAGAGATGGCAAAGGGAATGTACTAGAAAACATTTGCAGCCTGAAGGGAGACAATAGGTTTCATCTGAGATTGTTTGAGAAGACACTACCTTGGATAATTTCCACCCATATTTTATTTTATTTTTTAATTTTTAATTTTTTTTGTAGGGACAGGGTCTCACTATGTTGTCCAGATTGGTTTCGAACTCCTGTGCTCAAGCAATCCACCAAACTCAGCCTCCCAAAGTGCTGAGATTATAAGCGTGAGCCACCGCACCCAGCCTTCCACCCATTTAATTTCTCAATTTTCACATGCTACTTTAGTGATCTCATCTACTTCTAGGGCTTCACCTATTCAGGCTCTCTTTCAAGTTTCAGACTGATATTTCTTTTTTGGGGTCAGATAGCCCCACCTCAACATTCCAGCAATGTGTTGACCTGATACGTCTCAATATGTCCCCAACCGTGGTTCATCTTTCTCTCTAAGTCTGCCGAGCCACACAGTACCTCCCAAATTGATCTACAGATTCAATGTAACCATTATCAAAATCCCAGATGTTTTCTTGTAGAAATAGACACGATGATCCCTGTACTTTGGAAAGCCAAAGTGAGAGAATTGTCTGAACCCAGGACTTCAAGACCAGTCTGGACAACATGATGAGACCTTGTCTCTGCAATAAATAAAAAAATTAGCTGGGCATGGTGGTGCATGCCTGTAGTCCTATATACTCAGGAGGCTGAGGCAGAAATATTGCTTGGGTCCAGTAGGTTGAGGCTGTGGTAGCTGTGATGGTGCTACTGCACTTCAGCCTGGGAATGGAGTGAGACCCTGACTCAAAACAAACAAACAAACAAACCCCCCAAACATAGAAACATACAGTATGGTTCAATTTTCCATAGAAATGTATGTAGCAAAAAGGCTAGAATTCTTAGAGTTGACCATTAATTCTTAATGATGGTCATCACTGAGTGTGGAGTACTCGATATTACTTTTTATCTTTTTGTTTATCTACATATTCTTATTTTTCTACAATAATCATGGGTTTTATTGTGAGAAAAGGATGAATATAATCAGAAAATAAAAGACCCAAATCAAATATTTCTTCCTTGGAGGAAAGGTCCACTCTATAATCACCCTCTTCCTTGGGCCACTGTGGTATCTTGACCATACAGCTATTTTTTTATACGCCTGGTGACACAAGATACCTTTTTATTGTAGGCATCCCACTCTAGTGTCATTATTGCATGAATATTTGTCTTTCTCTCCATATTTTTGGTTAGGGATTATGCTGTTTTGTCTGTGATCTTGCATAAAATCAGCGCTTAACAAATATTTATGGAATGAATCATCTAAAGGGGGAGACAGACACACACTAATACTACCTGATCCATACTGCAATAGAGGCAGAGGCCTCCGAATGGGGTTGTTCTCAGCATTGCTGGATTGGAGGATGGTTAGAGAAAGTGCTGCTTGTGCACTCAGAGGGTGGGTTTCAGGTTGAATGCCTGGGACAATTGTGGCACCATTGATACACAAAGGAAACTGGTTTTGCAGGGAAAAATAGGGGACTCCTTTTCAGAAGTGATGGGGAAAGATCTCAGGGTCAACATCATTTTGTTGAAGGGATGCTTGAAGCAGCTGAGTGAGCAATTTCTCAGACAAAGCACGTTGAGAGAGGAGCAAGGGGCAGACGGGCTGCCTGATTCTTTGGGAGTGCGGGGACAGCAAAGGTCTGCATGACATGGGGGCGTGGTCCAAGATAGAAGCCAGGTGGCCATCCTATGAGTAGAAGGAGAAGTGGCAACACGAGGCAGGGTCACAGTGGGCTCTCCAGAAGCAAGCAGGGCCCGCCCCATAGTTGAGCAGAGGAGAGGCACTTAGGTGGGCAGAGAATGGTGACCAGACAGGGCAGTTTGAAGTCACTGGTGACCTCAATCCTCGAGCCTCCCACCCCACGCACACTGACCAGGCTCAGAGACAGCGCCTTCAGTGCCCTAGGACCAACACAGTAGCTGGAGAGAGGGGCAGGCTGGGTACTCACAGTACTATCCCTGGGGGCCGCCACACTGGCTCATGCTGTCCACCCTCATTCAGTTGAAGCCTCTTCACGCGGTGGCGGAATTTAATGCAGAAAGTGAACACCAAGAGCTCCATGTCTGTTTGGACACATATCCTTGTTCCTTGGAAATGGGCCATGGCCTGGGTCAGAAAATCTTCATCCTGAGTCTCATACAAGCAGTGGAGCAGCTCCAGAGAGCGTGGCAGCAGGGGGATCTGTGAGGGCTGGGCTTCTGCCTTGGCCCACCGCAGCAGACCCCACTTCCTCTCCCGAGGCAGCTGGCAGTGGAAGATGTTCTCCATGTCTCTCATCCCCTGTTCACCTAATAGTCCGAACAGGAAGCGCATGGTCAGTGTCTTGAGTAGGTCATGCCTTCCATATGCTTCGAGCAACTTTTCCACACCTCTGATGTGGTTAGGGTGTTCACCTCTCTCCTTATCCCCCAAGGCATAGGACATTGCTGCAAAGAACTCCTGGAAACACAGGTGAGTGAAACTAAAGCTCAGGGAGGTGGGGTGCTTTTGAAGAACACCCACCTTCAAGAAAGTGAAGATGATGGCCTCGTCTAATCTGTGCTTCCTGAGGTCCGCTGGACTGAAAAGGGTCGTTCCTCGCCAGATGCCCTCAGCAGCCAGGGAGCAGAAGCCCCTCAGCTGGGGCCCCAGGGACTGGGCTTGGAGAGCCTGGGAAAAGTAACGTAGACAGAGGGCTGTGATGGTCTGGGCGGTCAATGTGAGTTCTTCCCCTTGCTCCATCTGCTGCTTCAGGCAAGTGCAGACCAGCCAGGATACCCAGGGTACTAGACACAGTGTCCAGAGAGCACGGTTTGATTCAACCAAACTAAAGGCTCTAATGGCTTGACTTTCATCTGTGAAATATTTGTAAAAATATTCCTTCCTGCTGGACTCCGAGAACCCCAGGACTTCCACCCAGCGTGGCTGCTCTGAAGAAGGAATGAGCTTCTGCAGAGCTGCGGTCCGAGTTGTGATCAGCAAGGAAGCCCCAGGAAGTGTGGTTCTGCCCAGCAAACTGGCCAGCAGCTCGTGCAGCGGCTGCAGCTGACTCCAATGCAGACAGAGCTTGGAACTCTGCTTCTCCAAGACACATCTCAGCTCATCCACGCCATCGAGGATGAATAGCAGCTGCTCTGGCTGGGACAGGATCTGTCCAATGGGAGCCAGAGGGGCCACCCAGTCTTTTATGATTAGCTCGGCGAGACTCACCTCCTTGGATTTGGCCAGCTGCCTGCAGCAGAAGTAGAAGACATGTTGGAAGCGGTCCCGGTACAGGTGGCCTTCCTCCCAGGCTCTCCTCACCTGCCTGGCCAGTGTTGACTTCCCAGTTCCAGCGGCCCCCTGCAGTATGACTACACGAGGCTCTTCTTGGGAACCCAGACTTGGGCCAAATAAGTCTCCGATCTCAATCAAATGTCCTTGATCCCTCAAAACATCTTGATGCCAGCTTCCCCTGACCAGGGGCCTGTGGCCTCTGGGATGAGGTCTGTGTAGAAGTAACAGCTGAGTGAATTCTTGGTGCAAATCCTCATTTTTCCAGGACTGTGTGGAACAGGGGTTCTCTCTCATCTGCTTCTGGTATCCTTCTCTGATTCCTAAGTAGAGGGGAGATAGATGGAGCAGAAAGGTATAGAATAGATTTGTTCATACATTTATTCATTCATTCAACAACTGTTTTAAGCATCTATTCCAAGTCACACTACACTGGGTGAAGACACTGGCATGTTTTCTCCATGAATTGAAAGGAATACATGTTTTGGGATGGAAGATCCCAGTACACGTATCTCTCTCTCTCTTTTTTGTTCCAGTCTCACCCTGTTGTCCAGGCTAGAGTGCAGTGGCACCATCATGGCTATTGCAACCTAGACCTGCCGGGCTCAGGCGATCCTTCCGCCTGAGCCTTCCAAGTAGCTGGAAATACAGGTGTATGCCAACATGCCTGGGTGATTTTTTGACTTATTGTAGAAACGAGGCCTCACTATGTTGCCCAGGCTGGTATTGAAATTCTGGGCTCAGGCAGTCCTCTCACCTTGGCCTCCCAAAGTGCTGGGATTATAGGTGTGAGCCACCATGTTCAGCCAGCCCAGTGCAAATCTTGACACAACCAAGTCATACTCCCTGTATGACTTCCCTGCATCAAATACTTATCAAGGGTTTACTATGTGCCAGATCCTATTCTAGCAGCTGGGGATAAAAACTGAACAAAACAGACACATCTCTGCATCTTGGTTAAACCTATGACTTGGACCGTTAACCCTACTAAGTGTCAGTTTTCTCATCTGTAAGTTGAGGGTTGTGAAATCTTCTTGCAGGAAGTCATGGAGGAGTGAAGGAGATAATGGATAGTGCAGCAGATGCTGTTTGGTCCTAAAGCATCCCCTCAGCACCCATTGCTGCAGTGCCTGCCAATGGTGTCCTTCTGCAAGCACCTGTGATCATATCTATGAGGGCTCTCTGGGCCCACAAGTGGGGAGGGTCAGAGGGTCAAGACAGACAACTCTGAGGTGTGTTCTCTACTGTCTCTCTGATATTGAACCTCAGTTGCTCACAGGGGTAACCTGCTCCATAATGCACCTTTCTTGGGCATCTCTGCTTCCCTGCCTCACTTTTCTTCTCTTTTCTTGGTATTTCCAGCAATCATCTCCTCAATAAACTGCAAGCAAATCCTGTCTGAGGGAGCCCAACCTGAGACAAATGGAAGATGCCTTGTGAGTTGAAGAGCTGAGCGTACATAGGGATTGTTTCACAGGGAGGGACCTCAAGCTCCTGTCTTAGTCAGATTCCAAATAAAACATCCATTATGACACCTTCCCTTGATTCCCTTCACAATATTTAGAGTGCCTCTCACTTCCTTTCTTAGGTGAATCTTGGAATCCTGCTGGGCCTCCACAGTTCAAGGTCATCAGTTCTACCTTTGCAGGTATGCTAAGGACAATCTGGGGAGAGTGGAAAGTGTGGGGTCAGTTCACACCTTTAGCACTGGTGAGACTGGGATGTCCCAGGGTCACCCCATCTCTGAAATAATAATCTGTAGACCTGCCTTTCTTGTCTTCTGTGGGAACATTTCTGGCAATGTGAAAATCCCAGTTCCTCAGAATGGCCATGGCCATGACCCACCCCGCTCAGGCTGTGTTTACCTAAGGGACAAGGGAAGGCTTTGCTCTTCTTGATGCCACATTCTCCCAAACCTTCTGGTTTTCCTGCATCTGTTACTATACCACACGTTTGTTACCATACTATATATCAAAATTCTCTTGAATCAAGTCATATTTCAAAAAATTTACCTCCATTGCAGTACCTCTAGTGAGTTTCAGTGTTATACTCCTAACCAGGGGTTGGCAAACTCTGACTAAATCCCTAAAAACAGGTGGTTGGCTGGATTTGGCCAAAGTGTGCTAATCCCAGCCAGCCACCTATCTTTGTGTACAACCTGAGACCTAAGAATGGTTGTTACATTTTTAAATGGTTGAAAAAAATCAAAAGAAAAATAATACTTCCTAGTATGTGAAAATTATGTAAAATTCAAAAATTTACTGTCCCTAAATGTAGCTTTATTGGAACATTGCCACACCCATTTGTTTATGCATTATCTATGGCTATTTTCAGGCTATTAGGGCAGAGTTGAGTAGTTGCAACAGAGACCCTGTGACTCACAAAGCCTAAACTATTTACTATTTTGTCTTTTATGCAAGCAAATTTTCCTACCTTTGCTCTTGGTATATCAAAAAGCAGGCCATGCAGTTTTTGTAGTTGCATGAAATTGTTATTGGGATATTATTTTGTTCAAGTTCCCTCCTTGAATAAATTCTTTAGAATTTAGAATCAGAGAAAATATATTTTTCTTGAATTGGTCTTTTTCTGTTCTGTTGAGTGATAGGTATTATGTAATCCATTATATTTCTCCTTTTTGTCCTGGCTACTAGGATGCTCAGAACCAATGAAACCTTTTATTACCGCAACCGGTTAGCCTTCATGGCTTTCATACTTGCCTTTTTCACTTTTAAGGATATTGCATTCTAGTAAGGTTGTTGCACTTGTATGTTTCTGTAAGATGTCTCTAATCTTTTCTTTTTTCTTCCTGCTTTTCTTCTTTGAAGGAGAAATGGTGTGACTAATTAAGTCAGTTGATATACTTTGAACCTGGGCCACATTTTAGGGCCATGAATTCTGCAAGTTTACTTACTCCTAATTGGGTGCAGAAGGAATCCTTTTGAATTAACATCTCTTAGATTTCAAAGGGGGCATTACCTAGCATTGAGAGGCAGTATATTTTGGTGGTTATGACTATGACTTCAGGAACCTGTGGCTTTAGTATGACTGTTCTTATTGCCCAGATGGTAGAGGGAGTGGGATGTAAGAGGTAAAGGTGTAGATTGTGGCATCAGAGAGAGCAAACGTTGAATTCCTTCTCTGCCACTACTAACTGTAACATTTTTGAGGCTCAGTTTTCTCATCTCCAAGGTGGGATAATAATATCTACCTCATGGAATGGTTGTAAACTTTAAGTACAGTGTGCAAGTAAAGCACTGGCCACAGGGCCTGATCCAGAGAGTGCCTAGTGAACACTTATGGGCACGTGACTTGCTCTAGGCTTCTTGCAGGTGAAGGAGTCGGTAGAAATCGAATCCAGCTCTCCTGACCCCAGGCCAGTGCTCTCTCCAGTATACCAGGTGATGTGTTTCCTGTGCTGGATAACATGTCTGCATCTTAATGTCCAGAGGCCTTCTGGAAACAGTTCCTTGGTCCAGTGGAGAGACTCCAATAGTGGGATTTCTGGAGAGAAGTTTCAGATGTGATCTAAAACTTCTGAGCTCAATCTGCTAACCTGGCCCCCAGGGAACCGTTTTTTCATGCCTTTGCCTCACCCACCCCTTTCCAGGAGCTCATCAGGGTCTCACCTGCACAGCAACTTTCTGGTGTATCAGCTAGAAGCCACCTGGGCTTTGGAGCCTCCTGACTTCTGGGATCTGGGCTGGGCCGATGTGGGGATGCCCAGCCCCTCAGCACTGCTGTGGATGTAGGGGTGTTGGGTGATTCCTGACTTGGAGACTGGTAGACTGGGAAACTTGAAAGAGCTTCAAACAAGGGTAAGGGCTTGATTTCTGAGGGGAATGACAAGAAAGAAATGACCATTTATTGAACATCCATTTTTTTAGGTGCATTTTTAACTCTCACAACAATCCTGTGAGATGGATGTTAGTAATATTATTTTCAAAACCACATAAAAGAAGTGAGACAATTTTATTCTTAGTAGCTGGTCTGAAACTTCTTGGTGGGAGCACAGTGTATATTAGGTAGAAAGATTTTGGTAAGCTATTTGGGGGATTCATCTCTCTTTACAAGTAATAATAATTACTAAGTGACATTCGAAGGAAGCAGGTTACTGCTAGACACTTCTTTGCTAGGCATTTGAAGTGTTACTGCTAGACACTTCTTTGCTAGGCATTGGAAGTGTTTCTGCTAGACACTCCTTTGCTAGGCATTGGAACTTGGGCCATGTAAGTTAGGGACAGAGCAGAAGTGCTGAGTCATAGAGAAGGAAAGAGTCAGTGAGGCTGGGTACTGCATGGGGGAAAGGCAAGAGAGAGGAGAATGCTGGTGGAGGCATAAGAAGATCCTTTGTAGGGAGAGAGATATGAGCAGTTTAACCCTCTTCTACGATATCTTAAGTAGAGTCTACATAATGCCCTTGGATTTTTATGCAAGTGGATTTGTGTGTGTGTGTGTGTGTGTGTGTGTCGAGTTCAAAGAGTTACAAATTCTGTATTATGGAGTGGAAGGTGGCATGGGAGTGAAAATTGAGTAGTATGAAGGCTCAGATGAGGAAAATGAGACAGAAGGGAATTGAATGATTTGTCCCATGCCACACAGCAGGTGGATGAAATCAGGGTGAAAAATGAGGGCACTGGAGTTTGAGTCTGTAATAACTATTGCCAGGGCATGGGAGCGGGAGGGGTGAAAGCAGGCAGAGAAGGAATAAAAAAAGAAAGGGAGAAAGTGGGGACCTTAACAAAGCAGCAACAGAGTGGAAGAGGAGATTACCACATGAGGAATGGATTGATCTAGGCTCTGGCCCTGGTTGTGCCACTAAGTGCTGTGTGAGCTTGAACAAATAAGCTACTCTCTTTAGGCCTTCTGCACTGGGAAGAGGTGGCCACTATGATGGTGGGGTGAGAAGAGGAAGAGGCAAGGGCGTAGCTCCTAGCTGAGGTTTGCAGCCTGGGTGATTCAGCACAGCAGGGACCAAAATAAGAAAAGTCATGTGAGGGACCCGGCTTGGGCTGAGGGGTGAGCCTTGCCTCTCCTTGGGGCCCATCTGGGGAACAGAGTCCTCCTTAGAACTTCTAGACCACTCTGACCCCAAGGCACTTCAGAGCCCACCGTGATTACGATTGGAGTTCTGCTTGGGCAAGGTCTATGTCATATATGGTATCCATTTGGGTAAGACTCACAGCCTGACCCACATGGGTCTCAGTTTCCCCATCCACCAAATGGGGTGAGATGCAGTCTCAGCATTGGTAGCTTCCTGATAAACCATTTCTAGGTCTGCTGCTTTCACCACCCCACCCTGGCTCCTGGCTCCTCTAATCTTTCTCTTGCTGCCCCCCATGCCAGGTCCCCAGGCACAGACAGTCTCACCTGGGTGGGGCACCTTTAGCTGACTCACAACCCTACCCAGGGTTCTCAGCCCAACCCAGCAAGCCTCACCTCTCCAGTTGTTTCCAGACGTGTCAGGTGGCCATCTCAAAATCCTTCTTTTCTCTGAATCCTGGGGGCTCTCCAGGGACCCAGGGCCCAGAATCCCCAGCACCGCAGTGGAGGTAGGCTGGTTGGGGGACCCTAGGCCAACCTCACTTTGGGAGCAGAAGACAGAAGGGTGGTCTGTGGGAGGGAGACAAAGAGTTTGGGGACATGTCAGAGAGGCAGGGGCAGGAGCCAGGGGACTGAGGTCAGGTTCTTCATATCAAGTGGGTTTCCTCTGTCAACCAAGAGAGGTCAGGAGGAATCTCCCCTGCACCCTCCACAACCTCCATAGGCTCATCCGAAGAGTGATGCTCTTATAGACACTGCTGGGCAAAAAGGCTTGATTGGGGATCCAGTAAATTTGTGTATCTGTCTTGGTTCTTACTATGCCTCCATGTGTAAATCACTACTCCTCTTTGAGCCTCAGCTCTCCCATGTGGGGCAGGATTGTTAGCAGTAATAATAACAGTTGTAGCAGCAGCAGCAACAGCAACAGAACGCTTATTTATTAAGCACTATTAGACTCTGTGCTAAATGTCTCACATGAATTCTTCTAATCCTCACACTGTCCAAGGAGGCAGGCTCTTACTACCATTTTACGGGTGGAGAAACAGAGGCAGAGAGCAGTGAGGTGATTTGACCACGGTGGAAGTGCCAGGACTGGAGCCTGCCTCTGCCTGACTACCTGCTCATAACTGCACCGCCAAGCAAGCGCCCACTTGGGAGCTGGGTCTGAAAGCCACGCCCACCCTCCCCAGAACTCTTCTGAATGTCAGTGTCAGCCTCTCCCCTTCCGGAGCTCTGAGAGCTTCCCCTCACCCTGTCCCCACCCCAACCAGGCGCTATGAGGGCCACATGGGGTCCTGAGAATGCACTTGAATAGAAGAGGGTGTGTGACTCTGGGTTCCAGCAAGGGCCCCCAGTAAGCCTTCCAGCTCCAGCCTCGTCTGGTGCCTAGGTCCTCCTTTGATAAGGTAGTCTCAATCACTGCCCAGAGGAAGGCCTGGCGGGGGGGGGGGTCTCAGTGGTGGTGGTGGGGTCCCAAGGGAGGAGGGATGGGAGCCAGGAGATCTGCAGTAGGAAGAGGGGCCCCCTGTCTACTCACCCCACATTAAGGCCGCCTCTGCCTGGGCCTGTGCACACACCAGCTTCAGTCCCATCTTCTCCCAGATGTTAAAGGCCATGTTCCAGGCCTGCTTCTCCCCGTACTGAGCCACTAGGCATGAGGCCACCTCCAAGCCACTCATCTCTGGCTGAGCTGGTATTGAACCAGAAGAGGCCCCAGATAGCACCTTACTGGGCAACTGGAGTTGGAACTCCTTCAGCTCCTCCTTCTTCAGTAGCTCCAAGAAATGGGCCAGCTGGGTTCTGCTGGCCATCTCTGCCCTGTGGGGTGGTTGTTTAGGGGGACCTATGGATGTTCATGATGGTGAAAGGGTGGTGAGGGCTGACAGGCAAGCAGAGAATGGTATACTCCTGTGCCTTGGCCCCCACCACCTCCCAATGCGAGACTCTCACTGGAATCATTTCTCTTGGTCTGGCATACTCCTATTTAGCATTCAGAACCCAGTTTTATAAACCCCAGGGCATCAGTTAATAACTGATGTTGGGAGGAGGGAGGGGAAGGGGAGTGGTAGGAAAAGCCATAGGAGGGAGGATCCCAGAGGGGACTGGGAAACACCGGAATAAGTCAGGTTACGAGGAGTTTTTGGGGTCCAGGGATGGGGTCCAGGGCCAAGCAGGGAGGGTGATGGGGGATGGGGAGTGGGTGACACTCACTGTTCTGTATTCCTCAGATTTTTCTCTTTCCTGAGACCTGGACTCCTGGGATCAACCCTTGAGCTGCAAGCCTGACAGAGGGTGGAGTGGGGTAGAGGCAGAGCAGGAGTGGGCCTTCAGAGCCCAGGACTGCCCATTCCTAGGGCTCTTCAGGCCTCTTCTGGCTCTGGGACACCAGCCGCGAGAACAGCCCCCAGTCGGCCAGAACAGGAAGAAAAAGTCACCCAGAGGAAACCCAAGGGGGTGTGGGGGCGGTAGGGGTGGTGAAGGTGTGGTCAGGGGAGGAACAAGGATAGGCCTGGGTAGAGCAGACTCAGAGCCAGATAACCAGAGAGGCAGGCCGGGAGCACAGGCCTGGACAGGCTAACACCGAGGCATGTGCAGAACCATACAGCACACAGTGCCAGCATCTTCAGGCAGGCACCTCGCCAGCCCATCTCCCAGAGCCAGTGCAGACTTTCCCTGCAGGTAGGTGTGGGGGCCAGGCCCAGGCTCTTGGGAGGGGTGGGGCCTGCTGTGTCTGCCAGGGCAGCTCCTTAATGGGAAACATTAGAGAAGGGCCAGGAAGCCTCTTTCCCAGCCTTTCATGGTTTGGGGGGCTTCCTGAGCTCCGCTGCTCAGCCTGCTGTGCTATGTATGAGCGGCACTGAAGTGTGTATCCCAGGCTAGGGGGCAGCCCAGCCTTCAGCTAGTAAACATTTTGAGTAAACTCAAAAGCGGAACAGCCCCTGCTTTGTCGTTGCAAGCAGGCCTGGGGGAGTGAGGCGGGGAACTTCTTCCTCTTTTGTGGGATCAGCAGAGACTGGAAACTCTAGGTTGAGGAATGACATTTTCCAACTCATTTGCTGTTGCATAATACCGCCGGGAGGTTCTGGAGATGCTTTGAGTTGACCTGGGCTAGCAGAATCCAGGCTTCAGCCCATGGCTCACTTGGATGATGATTTCTCGTGTGGTTGATTCATTTCTCTGAGCTTCAGATTGCTCATCTATTCAATGGGACATCATAGGTTTACTAAGAGGCTCAAGTTCAGCCAAAGCTGATAGTAACCTTTAAAATTTTATATAAATATTAGTTTGTTTTTGTTTTTAAATTCAGAGTCAGGGTCTTGCTCTGTTGTCCAGGCTGGAGTGCAGTGGTGCAATCACAGTTCACTGTAACCTCGAACTCCTGGGCTCAAGTGATCCTCCTGCTTCAGCCTCCCTAGTAGCTGGGACTACAGATGTGCTGCCACCACATCCGGCTAATTTTGAAACTATTTTTTTGGTAGAGATGAGATCTTGCTATGTTCCCCAGGTGGATCTTGATCTCCTAGCCTCAAGCGATCTTCCCACCTTTGCCTCCCAATGTGAGGCAGGAGCTACTGCACCAGGTTAAATGTTAGTTTTTCTTAAAAAATTTTATTTTACTTTTAATTTTTTTTTGATTCATTGCTTTTATTTATTTTTATTTTTATTTTTTGAGTTGGAGTCTCACTCTGTCGCCTAGACTGGAGTGCAGTGGCACGCTGCCGGCCACCGCAGCCTCCACCTGCTGGGCTCCGGTGATCCTTCCGCCTCAGCCTTCCAAGTAGCTGGAACTACAGGCGCGCACTACCATGCCCGGCTAATTTTTGATGTATTGTAGAGATGAGGTCTCGCCAAGTTGCCCGGGCGGGTCTCGAACCCACAGGGTTGGGCAATTCACTCACCTCGGCCTCCCAAAACACGGGATTACAGGCTGAGCAACCGAGCCCGGCCCATTGCTTTTATTTTTATTTTAAAGACATGGGGTACAATTCAGGATTAGGTATACAGGTAAAGTTTGGGCCTCCCTTTAGTCTCCACTTTGCCTGGTTTGAGATCAGATACCCTTATTGATGTTGTGTTCCCCGCCCCCCTGACCCCAGCAGTATCCCGCTACTGCCAATCCCTTTCTTATAGTATTATGGTAAGTGTTCCGGGTCTGTTTATGAGTGAGAATATGTGGTACTCTGTTCTTTGTTTCTGTGATAGATCACTGAATATGATAGACTCTAAATCCATCCAAGTTGTTGCAAAGTTCATACGTTTGTCCTTCTTTATGATTGTGTAATATTCCATTGTGTATTTGAACCACATTTAAAAAATCCAATCCAGTTTCCATGGACAGCATGGTTGGTTCCATGTTTTTGCTATTGTGAATAGTGCTGCAGTAAACATGCGTGTGCCAGTATCTTTTTTTGTAGAATAGTTTGATTTTCTCCAGGTATATTCTCAGTAGGGAGATCGCTAGGTCATAAGGAAGGTCAATATATAGTTCTTTTAGAAATCACCACACTAGTTTTGCAAAGAGATTGCACTAGATTGCATTCCCACCAGCAATGTAGAAGCATTCCTTTGTCTTCACATCCTCACCAGCATCTGTTGTTTGTTTTATTAATGATGGCTATTCTTACTGGGGTTAGGTGGTATCTCAATGTGTTTTGATTTGCATTTCTCTGATGATTAGTGAGGCTGAACACTTTTTCATGTGTCTGTTGACTGCGTGTATATCTTCTTCTGATAAGTGTCTATTCATGTCTTTTGCCCACTTTTTAATGGGGGTGTTTGTGTCTTTCCTTTCAGCATGTTTGAGTTCCTTATAGAACCTGGATGTTAGGCCTTTGTCAGATATGTGACTGGCAAACATTTTTTCCTATTCTATGGACCGTCTCCCCACTCTCTTGATGATTTATTTTGCTTTGCAAAGCTTTTCAGTTTGATAAGGTCCCACTTGTCTATCTTATTTCTTATGGCATGGGCACTTGGGGTTTTGATTAGGAATTAGTTGCCAGTTTCAATTTCCATAAAGGTGTCTCCTGTATTTTCTATGGTTCTTATAGTTTGAGGTTTTATGTTTGGGTCTTTGATCCATTTAGAGTTGATTTATGTGTATGGGGATAGGTAGGGGCCCTGTTTCAATCTTCTGCATGTGGTCAGCCAGTGTTCCCAGCACCATTTACTGAATAGGTTCTCCTCTCCCCAGTGGTTGTTGGTGGAAGCTTTGTTGAAGATGAGTTGGTTGAGAAATTGAGGTTTTGCTTCTGGAATCTCAGTCCTGTTCCATTGGTCCATATACCTATTATTGTACCAATACCAGGCTGTTTGATTATTGTAGACTTATAATAAAGTTTAAAGTCTGGAAGTGTAATACCTCCTGCTTTGTTTCTTTTGCTAAGGATTGTTTTGGCTATTTGTAGTCATTAATTTTTCCATGTGAATTTCTATATTGTCATTTCCAACTCTGAAAAGAATGATGTTGGTAATTTAATGGGCATTGCATTGAATCTGTAGATTTCCTTTGGTAGGATGGACATCTTAACGATGTTGATTTTTCCTATCCATGAACATGGAATATTTTTCCATTTGTTTGTGTTTTCTTAGATTTCTTTGAGCAGTGTTTTGTAGTTTTCATTGTAAATGTCTCTCATTTTTCTGGTTAGGAAGATGCTGAGGTAGTTCTTTTTTTTGTGGCTATGGTGAATGGGATTGCATTATATTTTTCTTTCTTTCTTTCTTTCTTTTTAATTTTGCCGCCTCCTCCAGGAAGCCTTCCCTCCTGCCCCCAGTGGAGTTGGTTTCCCACCTTTAGGTGCCCGTGAACCACATCTTTTTCCTCATGTAACCATTGTCTCTTAGAATTGCAATTGCCTGGTTTACTCAAGTGATTTCCCCTAAACCAGATGTTAGGTTAAAAATATATATCCCAGTGGGGCCTCCAGAATATTAGGTCAGACCCGCCTGGGGTGTGCTTGTACAATCTGGTGTTGCCTGAAAGATGCAAAGAATTGTACAGAAGTTAGATTGGAAAATATAGTTTATTTATAAAGTAAACTAAAGAGAGAGAGAGGCGGGGGTGGAGGAAGATTCACTTCTCCAAGCCAGGGGAGGGGACCAAAGCTAAGAAAATGTGGCAGCCGCAGCTCAAAGAGCACATGGCCAGGCCATAGCTTAGCAGAGCAATGGCCCTAGGACTGCATTTTTTATTTGGTTCTCTGCCTGCTTCTGTTGGTGTATAAGAATGCAATTGTCTTTTGCACATTGATTTTGTACCCCAAGGGTTTGTCAAAGTCTTTTATCAGTGAAAGCAGATTTTTGGCAGATTCTCTTGGGTTTTCAAGGTATAGGATTATATTGTCAGCAAAGAGGGATAAGTTAACTTCCTGTTTTCCTATTTGGATGCCCGTGATTTCCTTATCTTGCCTAATTGCTTTAGCTAGGACTTCCATCACAATGTTGAACAAGAGGCATGAAAATGGGCAGCCTTGTTTTGCTCTGGTTTTCATGGGAAATGTTTCCAGTTTCTGTCCATTTAGCAATATGCTGGCTGTGGGTTTATTGCAGATGGTACCATCTCACTATTTTGAGCTATGTTCAATCTATGCCTAGCTGTTTGAGGGTGTTTATCAAGAAGGGATGCTGGATTTTATCAAAAGCTTTTTCTGCATCTTATGATATAATCATGTGGTTCTTGTTTTACATCTGTTGATGTGTTTAATTACACTTATGGTCTTGCGAATGTTGAACCAGCCTTGCATCCTGGGGATGAGGCCAATTTGGTTATGGTGGATGATTTTTGAGATGTGTTGTTGGATCTGATTTG